TATAAGTTCTTTATTATAAATTTAGTAGTTAAGTTCTAGGCTATATAGCTTATATAAGAAGAAGGTATATAGATATAGCTATCCTTTATTATCTTATTAGCCTAGTTATCCTCCTATAGTATAGTTTAAGGAGTTAGTCTTAACTTTAAATAGTTTCTTAAGATTAAGTATAATAAGTATAAGTTCTAATATAACTTATTACTTAATCTTATTAAAGGCTTATTCTTACTCTTCTTCCTATTACTAGGGAACTTCTTTCTTTAAGAGCCTAGTAAGAGGGTTATTCTTATTAGAGTATCCTTTAAGGAATTATTAGTAGTAGTTTATATATCTAATAAAGGATTATATATCCTTAATATTCTAAGGTATTAGCTAGTCTTATACTATTATAATTTTATCTTTTGATATTTTGAGGATTCTAGGGGCTATTATAAAGCCTAGGAATTTAACTTCTTAGGTATAGAATTTGCTCTTTTTTGGTTCTATTAGGAGTTTAGCTTCTTAGAGTTTCTATAGCACTTAATATATATACTTCTTATAGTCTTTTAGTGTCTTTAAGAAGATTAAGATGTTATTAAGATAAACTATAATAAATATATCTAGGTATTCTTATAAGATATAATTAATTATTATCTAGAATATTATAGGTATATTAATAAGTCTAAAGGGTATTACTAAGTACTTATAATATCCTTAGTATATTTAAAATACTATTTTCTATTCTTTACTTAATTTTATATATATTAGGTTATAGACTCCTTTTAAGTTAAGTACTATAAACTACTAGGCTCTATATAATAGATCTTAGAGTTTTAAGATAAGTAGTAGTAGGTAGTAGTTCTTAATTATAATGTTATTAAGTTTTTAGTAGTTAATATAGAGTTATAGTTTACTATTTTTCTTAGGTATAAATAGGATTAGATATCCTACTAGTAATATAGAGGGTCTAATATATCCCTTCTATAGGTTTTCTTCTAGATAAGCGTTAAGTACTTCTATTTCTTTCTAATTAAGCCTATAGATTACTTCTAATTTTAGCTCCTTCCCTTCTTTTAAGGGGATCTTATAGTTATAGTTACTATATTTTAGTAGTCCTATTTTAAGTTCTTTAGTAAATAGCTTCTAGTATTACTAGTATTCTTTTAGGATAGATAGAAGTTAATCTTCTTTATTAATATCTATTACTAATAACGTCCTAATACTTATATCTTTAACCTTTAGGTATATAATAAATCTCTTTACTTTAGGAGTCTTATAATATTTATTTAAGGTACCTCTTTTAGGCTGCTACTTAGTAACTAAATCCTAGTCTTAATAGAGTTAGCCTGTTCTCTAATCTATCTATAGGTTGCTATTATATAACTATAGTCTTCTAAGGATGATATTATATTTATCTCCTATCTCTATAATATTAAAGTTTAGTTGCTCATTCTAGCTATAGATCTATATAGGGAGGTGTGCTGTCTCTACTATAATGCGTCCTCTACTATACTAGACTTATTCTCCTTTAATAGTGCTAAGTTTATAGTAGTCTTCTTCTGCTTTTTATTGCTATATTATCTTTTATTTATTTACTATCTATAGTGATATAAAGTTTCCTTATGCTCTACTATCTATTATAGTAGTAGCTAATCTTCTATTAAGCTATATTTATAGTTATATATGCTTATATTATTAGTTCTTATGCGCTATTACGCTATATAGAGACCTTGTTTTATTTACCTATTATTATCCCTTATCTTTAGTAGGCGATCCTAGTTTTTTGACTAGTCGCTATAGTGCGTAATAGTCTTCCCTTTACGTTATGCCTTCTCATCTTTAGACTCTTCTTTAGAACTAGTATTATTAATATTAGGTTTACGCCTATAAATAGCTACTATCTAAGTATATTATTAGGTAACGTTATAAGAGTCTTCTAAGTTATAGGGGACTTTATTATTTTAGTCTTTAATAGCCTATCTATTAATTTCTTATCTTATATAAGGGTCTATCTTATCCTATAAGACCTCATTTAGTTGTTAGAAGTCTATTAGTCTAGTAACTTTTATAACTAAGGTTATTCTTTTAATATCCTCTATTTTAAGGAGGCTATTAAGCTATTTTTATGCTTTATATTTAAGCTTACTATTGCTTTAGTATCCTATAGTAATAGTCTACTAAGTTAGCTACTTAGGGTATTATCCTATTTACTCTTTATAGTCTTTATATATTTTATAATTATTATTAAAGTAGGTAGTCTAGCTTAGTTATTTATAGGGGGTTACTTTAATAGTAATACTAGCTTATTACTTTTCTAGTATTAGTTAGAAGCGCTCTCTCTTAGGTACCTAGTATTTATAGGCTAAATGCCTAAGTTTATTATAGTTATAGTACTTCTTATCCTTCTTTTAGCTATTACTTTTCTTATTATTATTTTACTAGGCTGCGCTAAGGTCTATAGGTCTGCTATAGTAACTATATATAGTAGTATATTGAGGTGCTCTAGGGTTAAGCTAGTTATTATTATTATTATTCCTAGGCTACTATTAGTATTTTCTAGTAGTATTTATAGGTTAGTATTATTTACCCCTTTCTTTATAGCGCTTATAGAGTTAGTTATTAATCTTAATAGTAAGCTTAGTATACTAGAGGAAGTTATTAAGTCTATTAACCTTAATAATTTTGTCTTTAACTTTATCCTTAACGTTATTATAGAATATAAAGATCTTTCCTTTATTAGTAAGGTTTAGCTAGGTATAGATTTATTAGAATTCTATAGTATAGTCTTTAGTAGACTTAGTTTACTTAAGGTAAAATAAGTCTTATTTAGCTTATTATTTCTTATTAGGGTCTTAAAATAGAGACTTTAGAGTAGACTTAAAGCCCTAAAAGCTACTAAAGATATCTCTAACTTTAATAGAATAATAGTTAAGTATCTCTTTATTGAGATATTCTTTAAGAAAGGGTTTAAACTACTAGAGGGCTTATCCCTTAAGAAAGGTAGATATATAAATAACTTTCTTAGTTCTATTCTTAAAGTTACTATAATAGAAATTCTAATAGTTTTTAACTTAGATGAGGAATCCCTTAAGGTATCCTAGGGATCTATTAAATAGGTTAAGAGAGTTAAGTTAGAGCTTCTTTTATCCCTCTATAATAGGAGTAGTAATAATATTATTAGTAGCTTAGAGAGTGCTAACTTTAGACTAAAGCGCGCTATTATTCTTATTCTTATCCTTAAGCTGAGTATTAAGTTAGTAGATAATATCCTAAAGTTCCTTTATATTATTTTTAAGCTTAATAGTCTCCTAAAAGCCTTACTAGATATAGTTAGTATCGTTATAGGTAAGAGTAACTATATTATTATTATTAGCGTCTTATATCTCAGCCTTACCTAGTTTCTAGGCTAAGCTGCTAGCTAGCTGCTTGCCTAGGCTGTTGGGGTTATTAGAGGAACCTAGGGTAGGCAACTTAATAGAGGTGTGAGAAGATATCTTATCTAGGTACTATTTAGTAGTTCTTAAAGGGTAACTTACTAAATAGGAGTAATTAAAGTATTATAGCTAGCTAACTAATAGTAGGTTTATATTAGTAGTAAGTTAGGGATTAAGAACTATAAATAGTAAATAGTTATTCTATAGGCTTAATTAAGTAATTATAGGTCTTTAAAGGGCTTAGTAATTAGTTAAGGCCTTAATAAGAGTTATAGAGTAATTATTACTTAGGTATAGCTAAAAGTATTAGTAAGGGTAATTATAAAGTTAATTACTAAAGAGCTATAGAAGTCTAATCTTAACTAGACTTAAGTCTATCCTATATATAAGTCCTAAATAGTCCCTTTACCCCTAGGACTAATATCTCACTATTAGTCCTATAAGATGGACTGCCCTTAGAACGTTAGTCCTAACTCTAGTCCTATCCTAGGACCGCTTATTAAAAGTTAGTCCCTCTTATTATTACGTGACCTATACTATAGTTCTTCTATTTCTAAGGGAACCCCGCGTGTTCCTATGATCCTATATATAAGGTGCTGTCCTAACCGCCTAGTATCTTAGTGGGGCGTTCTTAGTTATACCTAATGGGTCGTAATAGAATACTAGTTTATAAGAGACTATTCCTTTTACTATTAAGATTATATTATAAACTTTATCTTTTTATTTATTTAAAATATTATTTTATATCCTTTATTTTATATTAGCCCTTATTATTATTATCCTTAGTATAATCTTAAGCCTTAACCCTCTTTAGTCCCTTAATACCTTTAAGAATAATATCCCCTTTTATTTAAACTATATTAATAATATTCTTTTTATATATTATATTAATAAGAATATTATGATAGATATTATCTTTTTAAAGGAATAAATAATTTAGTAATAATATATAGGTTATATAACGCTATAATAGAATTTAAATTTACTTATAGCTTAAATAGTAACTAAAATAAAGTATAAGCTATTATTAATCCTTAATATATTATAACGTAATAAGCTATATAATAATATAGGGCTTAGCCTACTTAATATCTTAATAATAGTAGGATAGTATATAGAGGTGCTAGTTAAGATCTAAATATATTAGATATAAGGTTAGTAGTTTTAGATATACTAAGTATAATTAGGCTTAAATTAATCCTTATTATAAAATAATAGCGCTAATATAGGAAAGGTAATATATAGAAATGCGGGTCACCTAATATAAGGCGCCTAAAAGGGGATTTCTTTAAGATGAGTCCGCAAAGATCTTTGTATTTATGTATCTATAGAAATCTTGAGAGAAGAATCGGGAATCTTCAAGACCACATGTTCCACTCAAAGTTCTTGTTCACAAAATAGTTGCTTTGAATTAAACGCGTCTTCAGGTTGGGTTGCAATATGTGCAACTGCTACGATTTTGTTCCGTTTGATCCATGCTTGTCAAGTCTCCTCTTGTATCTCAGCCATCTCAAGCATCCACGTCAATCCACAACCTTTGAATCTCCTTCTAGACACTCATCAGATAGGTGCTTATCTTCTTGTCTTTCAGCCCCAGAATGAGAAGATCCGACGTTTGATCGTACCGAACACGCCCTCAGGATGTCCCGAGTCGGCACCAGCCGGGTCCCCAACTTCGACCTCCGCTGTGCGAGTCACCTCCTTCACAGCCTCCGCTTTCTTGAACTTCTGGCGGAGCATCTTGTTCTCTTCCCACAGGTCCTTGTAATTATCCTTCAGACGCTCTATCGTAGACGCCAGCTCCTCGTAGTCAAGCTCGCGTTCAACAACACCGATGAGATCGACATTGTTGGCACTGTTTTGGGGAGGAGTCGGCGAATTCGAGACGTTTTCGTCCTCGCTAAGATATCCCGTAGCGGAGAGCGCAGTCTGGGATCCTTCGTCTCTCATACTTGACGAGGTCGATTCGAAATACCGAGCCTTTTTCATGGGTAGTTCTTCGGTGGCTTCAACTGGCGTAAATGCTCTCTTGGCCGTGGTTTTCTTGGCATCCTCTATTTCCAGCGTCAGATCACAGCTCGTAGCGTAAATAAGCATACTCACCATTTCCCTCGTCGACATGTGGACCACTGATAGCTTGCGAGAGCCTCAACCACACGGAGGCCTCGATCCATCTGTCGAGACTGGCCAAGAAAGGCCGAAATCCCTTTGGAATGTTCCGGGGTCGTCTTCCTCTGAGTCCCCCAACCTTTTGCCCACGCATCTTCAAATGCAGCTCTCTGGCTCCCACGATAGTCATCATGACGGCTCCGCGGTCAGCTTGTGTCGCGCCTGCGGTCCATTCCTTTCTGCGATCCCTGGCCTGCAACCGCTCTGCCGCCTTCTGCAGGACATCGTCCCATTCGCCCGTTCCCTTGGTCTCCTCAAGGACCTCGACGGCCGCTTTGAGCCAGCGCGAAGCATACGTGGCGAGCTGAATTAGGTGCTTGGGGGATTCGGGCGAAGGTCCGAAGAACATTTGCCAACCGACCTGGTTTTGGCGGGACACTGGCTCGCCTGCTCGTCCTGGGAAGCGGAGGCCTGGAAGACGGCGAAGATCTGGGTGGCTAGCGTACCAAACTGGATGTCTTTCAGGGTCTTTGATTGTTTTCTCGAACATACCAGCTTCGTCGTTCATGTTTGTGTCTTCGATAAGGCTGGCTTCTTCGATTATTTTGGCATGTTCGATCATGGTAGGTTGTTCGATTATATCAGCTTGGTCAGCCATGTTGGCTAGTTCGACCATATTAGCTTGTTCGTTCATGTTTGCTCCAAAACTAACCTTCGGTTTTTGGCCCCACGTCGAGAAATGGGACATTTATGCTGTTGATCGCGATGTATCTCCGAAAGGGTATTCAGCTATGATTCACACTGAATCTAGTTACTGTCAGAATACGTCCACATTGCGAAATAAATGGCACAACCGTGGAGTTCTCACAGAGGCGACGTGGTCTCCGCCGAAAAGATTCTACCGCAGCCCATTCGCGTCGTTCTAGTTGTCCATAGGCTCGCGATATTCAACTCGAATGTAACTCGAATGTGAGTGCAAAGCTTTCCAGGTACCCAAGGGTTGTTGGAAAACTTTGCGTCTCTCCAGCTGATTTCTGGGTTCACTTTCTTCCGGAAGGCACACCGTACAAGGAAAGGGAGGTAGGCAACACGGCATCAAGAGGAAGGTACCTTAGGCCACGCCGTGCCTTCCACTCCCAAACAGTAATGATGTCATCGTGCGAGGCTTCGTAATTTGGTAGGTCGGGTCGTAGAAATGCTGAAATCCTCTTGGATTTGGTTTGATTCTCCCATGCACCAAGATCTCATCGCTTGTTGCCCCAGGCACCGCAAGGTGTATCTGAGAGGCAAATGTGGCAAAACAAAAGCCAACGGTCGAGGCCATTATTGGTGACCACCCCTAATAGAAGTCTAAAAGAACAAACCCCCGCCAATTTTCGATAGAGTCAAACTGTACCTCAGCATGTTTTGTTTGCTTCCCAATTGATTTGCATTGGGCAGCCTGAGGCTGAACCAGCTAAGACCAACCGACGTTTTTCCATCAATTAGACGACTCGATAATGTATTGAAGATTACTCCGACAGTCTCGTTCTTGTACCTCTCTCAGTCTACTCAAGTACCTGCGAGGAAAGAGAGTACCTGAGAAGCGGGCGTCGGAGGAAAGTGCAGGGCTTCTCTCTCCTTCCACCATGCCCAGTCGGCACCTCCCTAGATCGGGTGGTTCCTCCTAGGTAGAGAAGGCAACAGCCACAATGGCAAGCACACCCAACTCTAGGCGGTGTACATTGGTTCGGAGAGAATGGTCTTGATGGCTCACTCTGAGCTCTTCCTTCCAAAATGGGGCTTGTGTAGATGACAGATTTCTGAGTTCTTTCACAGTCTATCGGAGCACCAAGACTCAAGACCTAAAGGGTGATCTTCAACGTAACCTGATGCCCGTAAATTCACAATTCCATCCATTTTAGAGTTCTTCAGCCGGCCGGTATCTTATCTGAGCCACAGAACGGCTACCATCGTCGCCACCCTCTGTACCTTCTAAGCCAGTAAGGGCCCCAAGGCCAACGCATCTCCGTCAAAGCGAGCTGCTATTAGATCTGAAGATATCAATTTAATCAATTGTTCGATGCCTTGTTTTGGTATGAATAGTACAGCCTCGCACCGTTCAAGATCACCACACAGGCCGAATGACTTTCCGATATGAGGCTGGAGCACACTATTATTTATTTGACATGAGTCTGATTGGACTTCCTCATGAGGCACCAGAGCTTTTTAGGAGGTGGACAGCTCGTGTGACTTCGTGGAATCACACTGCACCTTGAGGGTTAGGAGGTAATTACATTTAAATGGAGGCTCCCCCCAACTTCTAGTCTTCCTTTCTTCCCCAGAACCCACGGTACATATGGTTTCCAGCTTTGGTCGACTGTAACGCCTCACGCTAAGTGTTTTTCTCGTAATCATCGTTTCGTTTCCGTTTCTTACGAGCGTTCTTTTACCCTTTTCCTTTCCTCGAGACCGCAAGTCCTTCGCTCCGGCGGTTTATCCACTGTCCCGTGAACCCCATCGTCATCCTCGTCATTTCGATACTTCACTTCGCATAACCGACATGGACGCTCCGGCACATTTCCTCGAAGACTACCCGATGGCAGACGGAGCCAACCAGCGATGCTCCTATTTGATTCAAATGCAAGGGAACGTCGCGAAATGCAAGATTTCCTGGATGAGAGACACCATTAAAGTGGTTTCAGGGGATTGCCTGCCTTGCCCCGATGAGCACCGTGCCCAGTATGCTCAGGACCTGGAGAACACAATCATCCTCGGTGGATGCCCGCTCTTCATTTTCAAGGATTGCCCACGCTGCAAGGTCCGTTCGGTAATGGCCCAGGCTATCGACCTCGGCTGCGACAAATCGGCCAAGATTCTAGCTTGCTTGCTAACGAAGTTCTCGGCCTGCAATCTCGACGCAGCTCAGCTTCTCGATGATCCGATTCTGTCCATCTTGCATGACGAGAGGTCTATCGACCTCCCAGAAAACAGACTGAGCATGACTGCTGCATGCAAGCTGGTATGTCTCATGGAGGCGGCCACAGGAGGTCGCGGACGGCACCCCTTTAACGTGGGCACCTGGGTATGCGAAATTCTCTCCAATGCGGCTACAATTCCAGGGTCCATACTAGGATTTTTGGGTCTTTTGGAGATCACAATTCAACTTTTTTATGGCGAGAAGGCGGCCCAGCACCGCAAAATCGAGAGCAGGCTTGTCTGGGGCGCCATTCTCCAAATCTTATGGCAACACCCCCGCGTCGCCAAGGGCACAATGGGCTCTGTTGTCCTGATGACTGAGAAGCTTCTGCATATAGAGCGACAGCTCCTCGATGAGGAACGCAAGGCTGCGAAATACGGTATGAATCAAGTGCCTTCATTCAGCCGTATCCAGTTCGAAATACAGGATCAGTCAGGACGTACGGAGATCACGGACCTTTTGAGATTTTGCGAATGGCAGCCACAACGGATTCCATTACTAGCCGACCTCCAACCAACTGACGATATCGACGTTGAGATCAGAGAGTTATGGACACCAGAAACCCCATTGGACCGTGTGTCATGCGGAGCATTCCGTGAAGCAGTTGTGGGGCACTTGAAGGATGAACTTACGAACCCAGTCTCTGGTCAAAACGACAAAGATGTCAGCAAGACATCTGCTGCGACGGATCTCGATGTTCAAGGAGAGTGACATCTTCGTAACCCGGGCACTTGACCCGAGCACTTTCGTTACAGATGTTGTCTGGGACTCGGAAAGTTTGTATTATTTGCATCAGAGAGCGCTTTTGGACAGGAATACTTGGACAACGTGTTGGGCACATGGTTAGTTTTACATTTGGAGTCAACATTGCGTACAGGGCGCAGGGGCAAGAGTATCTTGGCCGCTTTCGCCCAGTCTACTGGATGGCTCTTCCCATAAATTATTCATTACCATTACCGGAGGCTTATTGTTCATTGTCACTAACGTGCTCACTAAATTGACCCAACGTTCTGAAAGTCCTAATTCCAGCGACGATACTGCCCGAAATAATTTCTGCCGCTCAACACATCATGCTCATCGGGAGCACCTTGAGTTTTGAGGACAACGAATAGTTCGAATAACGACGAGGAGAACGAGCACATCGATGAATGCGAGGCTGAGGGTAACGATGTGGATGGCGACGAAGATAGTGACGAGGATGACGACGAGGACGACGGTCACGCCTTGACCTACGTCGCGTCGTCCCTCCAATCGATTTCTGCTCAATTCTAGGCCGCACTTCGAGATCCTATCTTGACTAACACTCCGTGCATGCCGGTCGAACTGCCTTCTCAGTTTGCATTTTACCATGCGTTCCTCCAGCGCTTGCTGTTGATCAAAGGAATGCAGTCATGCCAATTCCCGAGTTCTGCCGGCTTTTGCCGAGACCAATATCCACCTGGCGGCGCGGCGACGGCGGTTGTGGGGCCGGGCGGATGTGGACCGGGTGGTGGCACGGGCCTTGAACCAGGATCGCCCTCAAACCACACCGTCCCAATCTCGGAATACCGAACTCACACCCCTCCTCCTCCTCGCAACAGGGATCTGAGCCAGGGGAGCCCACACCTCCCATTTACCTTATTAGAGCCCATTGCCTCTTGTCACCATCTCAGCCAGACACTCTCATCATCTTCCAAACTTTACATACACTTGCAACAGTCGCCAGTCCTCATCATGGCATATGATCGCGACGAATTCGTCCGTCTTTTGACAGACTATTACAACTTCTGTAACCGCACTTTCTGGAATGCCACTATCGCGCAGGCCCCCGCTGGTGGCTGGCCTTCGGTCAACCAGGAGACCTTGGCCAACCTCAAGAGAAACGACACGGTTATCGACCTCCTTCGCCACATTCCCTACGTCGAGTACGCCGAGAACGACCTCATCCATACACCTCTCATCATGAAAAACACCCCAGTCATCGACTACCGCCGCGAGGACATCCAGCAGAAGATCCGCGAGGGCGAGATCGAAGGTATCGCTGCGCCTTTCACTGGGCGAGACCCCGCGATCCCGCCTTCGTGCGCCGGCATCGCTATCTGCAGGGGCAGGAGCGGTTACCAAGTCATCCTGGACACCGACGACGGCTACATCTACTGGGGCGACCCGGAAGGACAGCATGATGAGCCCGCGCCCGAGCTGAACAGCACCTTGAGACGGTTCGAGGGCGATGAGGCCAACGAGTGGCGCGCCGGTTTCAATGTGTACGAGCCTGCCGAGTTCTTCACGATCTGCAAGGAGCGATTCCGGGAGATGAACTGGATCGGGCTTGGTTCGTGGGACATGTCCGTGATGAGGCAGAACATGAACTGGGAATATGAGTCGGAACCCGATTCTGATTCTGATCCTGAGGATGATTTCAGCCATAACAAGCTGGCTAGGAAGATGAAGAAGGCGGGCTGGCCTGGTGACGGAGAAGGTCGGAACTGGGACCGTCCCAAGTTTGAGAGACTGATGGAACAGGGCAATGACGAGGAAGACTAGCATGCACTAGAATCAGACACTTCACTTGATCAAGATGCATTGGGGATAGGATCATAGTATTTGACATTATTTCGGCTTTACAGCCTTGGTAGAATGGTAATTACGAGACCGTTTCCGATCTTATTAGTGTACTTGGCTCCTTGTCGCACCATCCGTGTCTGTACTTCACCATTTTTGAGGTTCATTCCCTCGTTCAAACGCCGACACAGGCGTACGCGTTGGCCCAGAGCTTGGTGCAGTCGCTGCCGATGGACGGGTTCCACGTGGTCATCTGCTTAACGGTGATACCCACGCGCTTGGCGACAACATCGCAAGTGTCGCCCGACTTGACGAACTCAAACTTCTTGCAGTTGGCAACGAGGCTTCCCTGGGTGGGCTGGGGCGTCTGGATGCCGTTGCCCGGGTTGGTCGGGGTCGGGGTGAAGCCGACAACGTGGACGCAGGCGTAGACGCTGCCCCAGAGGTTGGAGCAGCCGCTGTTGAGGGTGTTCCACTGGGCGAACTGGGCGACGCTGATGCCGTTTGCGCTGGCGATCTTGGCGCACGAGTCGCCGTCGCCGACGAGGTGGAACTTGTCACAGTTGCTGGCAATGCCAGGCTGCGTGGGCTGAGGGGTCTGGATGCCGTTGCCGGCCTTGGTAGTTGTGGTCGTCTGAGGCACGGTCGGGGAGCCGCCGATGATGCCGATGCAGGCGTAGGTGTCGAGCCAGAGGTTGGTGCAGCCGCTGTTCAGTCCGTTCCAGGAGACGACATCGGCGTTGCGGATGTTGTTCTGCTTGGCGATCGAGGCGCAAGAGTCACCGCTCTTGACCATGTAGAACTTGTTGCAGTTGCTGACGATGCCGGTGTGAACGGGCTCAGGGGTTTGGACACCATTGCCGGCCTTGGTGGTGGTCGTCGTCTGAGGGACGGTCGGAGAGCCGCCGACGAGACCAACACAGGCGTAAGTGTCAAGCCAAAGATTAGTACATCCGCTGTTCAAGCCGTTCCAGGAAACAACGTCGGCGGTGCGGATGCTGTTCTTCTTGGCAATGGAAGCACAGGAATCGCCATCCGCAACCATGTAGAACTTGTTGCAGTTGCTGACAATACCGTTATGAACAGGCTCGGGAGTCTGAACGCCGTTGCTGGGAGCAGTGGTGGTCTTGACCGGAGCGGAGGTCGTGGAGGGGTTTCCACCGATTAGACCAACACAGGCATAAGTGTCGCCCCAGAGGTTGGTGCATCCGCTGTTGAGGCCGTTGAACGAGGCGAACTGGGCCACGGTGAGACCATACTTCTGAGCAATAGCAGAGCACGAGTCACCAGACTCAACAAAGTGAAATTTGTTGCAGTTCTTGACCAAGCCACCCTGAACCGGATCGGGGGTCTCAACTCCGTTGCCAGCAGAGGTGGTGGTCGTGATGACCGGGGCCTTTGTGGTGGTAGGAGGAGCAGTGGTGACGACGGCCTTGCTGGTAGTAGAGGCGACGGTGGTAGTAGTCGTCTCCTCCTCCTCGGGAGGGGGTGTGGGTTCGTTGTAAGCCTCAACGCAGTAGCTGTTGCCGGACTTGAGACCAGAGCAGTCTGAGCCAACGGAAGGGTTCTGTGAGGATTGATGTTAGTTGTAATCAGTCTCTACTAGGCGGCAGTCAACACGTACCCAGCGACGGAAAGCCTTCATGTCAATCCAGTTAAAGTCGAGAACCTCTTGACAAGTCTGAGATCCGTCATAGTCAGCCCACCACGAGCAGTAAGAGGTGGTGTCGGAGGCGTGCGGCAGGTTGGGCTCCGCGCCATCTCTGGCATGGAGAGGAAGTGCGGCAGCAGAAGTCAGGCCGAAGAATTGTGCCACGATGGCGGCGGCAGCCAGTTGTCTGATAGCAGAAACCGTCATGTTGGTAATGAAAGAGTGACTGAAGAGCAGGAGATAACTAGGGGAGACGAGCTCAGAACAAGGGAGTACCCAGAACAAGGATGGATCTGCACTTGATGATCTGCAAGTCTGGATGATCACTCGGGATATCTGGCCCTTTTATCTGTCAACGAGACAAGACAGTTTTTCATACTTTGGTAAAAGCCTCATCGTAAACCAAAAGGTATATCGTGTAGTTCGATGCCTGAGCCGCGGCTCGGTCGCTTTCGGAGCCTACTTCTCTTTGCCCGCCCGAACCGTCATCTCGTACCACGGAGACTACTAACTCTGGCTTACTCGAAGTTTGAAGGAAGCGGGACGCGCCGCGACGCCGCTACTCTAACGGCAGGGGGTCGGGGTTTACCTGATCAGCACGCTGCTTGATCCAGGGCAACTCGGACTCATCGGAGGTCTAGATGGCAAAAGCTGAAAATCCGGTCCACATCGCGTGAAAAGTTGAAGGGATTTCTGCTGTGCCTTAGCTGTGAATGGATACCTACTCGTACCTAGTCTAGTTAAAGTTAAGTTAAACTCCTTGCTGACGCTCTGGATCCTTACGTTCCCACTGTTTACCCCTGATCGTGAAATGCGCCGAGGCGGGCGGGCCGATCTTGGCATGCGTAAGATTACCTCAAAGTACCTTGCAATGCCTGTCTTATGATTCTAGTTAATCTAACCGACTCCTCTCCGTAAGGCTGGCAATGAGTGCTGCCTTGAGCTTCCGACGGAACCAATCAGGTTTTTGACCGGATCGATCGTGAACAAGGGGATGAAGAAAAGTGGTGGCGTGACTTTAGTATGTGAAAATCTTTGAACGTGCATATGCGCGAATTGTTTCTTCTGTTCTACATCATTACTGCATCCGCCGTCAGCGAAATGAGAGACTAATGTAAGGTACCAACACATTAAGTTCCGTCTCCGATGTTCCTGTTCTCAGCCTAGAATGGACCCCTGAATGTTCGATTTTCTCGTCTGCCTTGCATAATTCTTCGCCTTAAACCTCCTAAGTTCGGACAAATCCTGAAAGCGAGACTACTACGTACAATGATGTGCCTCCGGCTTAACACTTCTTCCTAGCAGGCATCCTCAATGTGTCCAGACCTCGCTGCAGGGACATGACAGCCATGCCCTCTCCAAAATCCCGCTTGGAAAGATGGCTCAGCCCTCTGAGATCCCTCTTGGAGGTGGAAGAAACCGAGCCGCTGTTGATGTCCCTTGCAATGGCTACAATCTCGTCGCGCATGGCCCCTCTCTTGGTCTTCTGGACAGACTCGATCGTGGCTTGAGAGTCAAACTCATCGAACTGGCCGCCGAGGAAAGAGATGGTCTGCGTCTTGGATGTCCCCAGTCTCTTGCTCGAGAGACGGCCATTGACAAACGTGACCATGTCGTCCGCCTGAGCTCTGCGCCGGCTGTAGTGGGCATACTCCATGGCCGTCGTGATCTTTCCCAGTCGGCTGGGCTCTGCCGTCTCCCGAAGCACCGTCATTCTGTCAACCAGACGCTCAATGACAGTGGGATGTCCCGGTCTCGCATCGTCGTCTTCGTCGCGCCAGAGACCTCCGAGAAGCTTCTTGGCGTCGTAAACAAGATCGTCTCTTTCTCCCCATCCCTCGATCTCACCGATGTCCGGATTCATCATGTCCGAAATACGGCCACTGACACCGGTGAGAGTCTTCAGACGGTCGATGTGAAGGACAAATTCTTCAAAGTTGCAGTCTTTGCAAGCCTTGGCGATCTTGCAGTCGGATCCGCTCTGGTCATAGTCGGAGCGGTACATGTCGAAAAACATGAGAATCTCGTAGGCATTGAGTTCGGCCAAGAGAGGCAACGGGGCCAAGGCCAGGAGTAGGAAGGTTGGAAGCCTCATGTTGTCGGTGTTGTGGTCCCAGAAACCAGAATGAAGCAGCCGGTCTTCGAGGTTGTCTGTGGCTCAGAGAAGGCGGGTTGAACAGGTCTGAATGGAGAAGAGGTGAAGATGTGGGAGCCAGGAGATGCTCTGGACAAGACGAGTATCGAGGGCCAAAGACTCATCTTAGACCCATCTGCACAGTTCGGCCCTGGTGTCACGGCAAAGAAAAGCACCTCACATGATCATGCTGCTGCTAACTTGATCGGAGTTCAATCCGCCGAAGAGGAAATTACTTTGGAACTTCGGACTGAGAGCATGCATGAAACCCACGCCCTTCGCCGGCTTGTCCCGCGCGGAATCAGCTAATTCAAAATGTCTCCGAACTGTCCAGGCCACTCAATTTTCAGGTCATCATGCTCCTAGAGCCTTTGTCAGCCTAGAAGCTGATAAGATGCCTCGGGATATTTTCTCTCTGCCTAGCATGATGTGGGGCCGCGTGGCGCACGGCGGTCCCCGGGAGCCTCCCGTCAGCTTAATTGATACCTTACTTTAACATCCAAGCAAGCGAGCCTCTCCTCTGTGCAGCGTTCCTTGCAGCGCGTTCGCACTTTATTCACTAGTGCTTACTTTACTATGGATATCACGAAGGATCAGGTTAGTGTTCTCAAAACCCACAACTCTGGATCCATAAGTTGCCCGAAAAGACCCTTGACAAGCCGGGATACCAACTCAAGTTAAGCTTGTCCGTTGGGGGCCGGAAACAGCATTCCAGACCCTAAACCTTGATCTTGGCATGATCCTTCGGCTCACACTTCGGTCTCGTGGTTCTCAGAGGGTGAATTAAGGCGAATTCTGGCCAGGAACTTCGGTATCCTAATGCACCAACAACCATTCTCGGACCACCAATCGTAAAGTCGACTCCGTAGTCTCAATCGACAGCTTAGCGCCAGGCGTCTAGAATCATTGTCTGATTGCGGCTGTATTTCGTGAACATGGACCCACGGACAGGGCTATCGATTTCGGACTCGGTCCGATCATCAGCGTCAATTCTGCGTCTGAAGTCCAGCTCGTGAGATTGCCTTTGGAAATCGAGCCCCTGTGTACGGCCGCGGCCGCGGCCGCCTATGCCTCGGGGAGTCTTCAACTGCTACTATGGAAATGAGAAATATTGTTTATCTACCTTGCCCGTCCCTCATTCATCAGTCACGAAGACAACCATAGCATGATACAGTCGTTCGTTCGTTCTACCAGTCATTCATTCATTCACTCATTGACTTATCCATCTATGTCCTAAATACATTAATTCTCCCTTCTGTATGGTGACACCGTCACCATCTACGCCTCTCTTTTAAGGATGTGGCGGCACTCGTTTTCGGCCGCCATTGGCCTGCTGTGCCTTGCCAGCAACGTCTTGGCAAAGAATGAGGCCAGTCCTATCAACCCGTGCCCTGTTCGATGCAGCATTTCCGGACCGAACCCTCTCAACTGGACCTACCTCCATGGCACTGCGGCACTGAAGCGCTGCGAGCAACCCATGCTTTTCGATACCATGCTGGAGACCAGCATCGTTGACTTCAACAAACACATTACCTTCCGGGCCTGTACGGCATCCGAAGAGTCCACGGTCAAGACCGAGGACTATAAGCCTATTCCCTTCACTTTCGGGACCCCCGATGCTGAGAAAGATGAGGAGCTCCCGGCCCCGACCGAGGACTCCGAGCCTGTTTCTACTCCCTCCGCCTCTGCAGCCTCCGAGAAGCGCTCCGTGAGCACCATCAAGTCAACATGCGCCTCGGACATGCACAAGACCTCCAATCAGACGAGCGCCTTCTATCACGAATGGGTTCCCGACGACAGTAGCAGAGTTGATGGCAGCATCAATGACACCGCTTTGGCCCTCAGGACCCTCCAGGAGCATCTAGACGCTGCGGACAACTGCCAGTCGGCCATCATGTTCGCTAAGGTCCGCGAGTCCATCTCAGGCCTCTTTGTCGGCTCTGCGGTGGACAAGAAGAGCGCCGTGCCCTTCGTCGAGAAGCTCGCTAGCAAGGTCCAGACCAGGGAGTTCTACGAAGCCGGCCGCTTTTCTGTCTCGAACTGTCAGACAGTCCGGCCCTCGGTCTGGAGAGTGGGTATTATTGCCGACCTCCAAGGCAACATGACCGCTGTTCAGGAAGCTCTGGCTGACTGGAAAGATGCCAAGTGCGCCAGGAGCCCGGACCTCACCGTAGAGTGGGTCGACAGAGAGATTGAGCTCTGGTCTGTCAAGAGTTCCCTCAACGGGACGGCATTGAACGGAACAGATGGAACCAGTAACTCGACCGCCATCTCAGGACGCGGAGTCCTACATTCACTTCACCGCCGGGCTGAGTGCCGCGCTGAGAGAGTCGAGTCTGGCGATGATTGCGGAGCCCTGGCCAAGCGCTGCGGTATCAGCGCCACGCAGTTCAACAAGTACAACAGTGATGTGAAGAATCTCTGCAGTACACTCAAACCCAAGCAGCATGTTTGCTGTTCTGAAGGCGACCTTCCAGACTGTAAGCTGATAAATTCCACCATCCTACCCATGCCAGTCGTAAAGACGCTAACCACTGAAAATTATAGTCCGACCGAAGCCTGATGCCGATGGAGTTTGCTATTCCGTCGATGTCGATAAGGGTTTGGGATGTTGGGACTATGCCGACGCGAACTACCTCACAACAACCGACATTGAGAATTTCAACAAGAACACCTGGGGTTTCGCCGGCTGCAAGAACCTTCAACCAGGACAGAAGATTTGCTTGTCCAAGGGCGAACCTCCCATGCCTAACCCCATCTCCAACGCACTTTGCGGTCCTCAAAAGCCCGACGGAGAGCCCCGCGGCAACAAGAACCTCACAGACATGAATCCATGCCCTCTCAATGTCTGCTGCAATGTCTGGGGTCAGTGTGGTATGGACTCCGACTTCTGCACGGAGGCTCCTGCCGACACCGGCGCGCCGGGTACCTCCCAGCCCGGCAAGAACGGCTGCATCTCCAACTGCGGCATGGAAATCACCAATAACGACAAGGGTCCTGCTAGCTTCTCACATATCGCCTACTTTGAGGCTTGGAACAAGAACCGCCCCTGTCTGCACATGGACGTCTCCAGCGTGGACACCAAGAAGTACACCCACATCCATTTCTCCTTCCCCGATGTTACTCCAGGAGACTTCAAGATCGACACAAGCAAGCTACAAGATCAGTTCGATCTGCTGAAGAAGGTGAGTGGGATCAAGAGAATCGTGTCTTTGGGCGGCTGGGCCTTCTCTGCTGAGGGCGACACCGTTCACATTCTCCGCGACGCTGTTCTGCCGGCCAATCGTGCCACCTTCGCGGCGAACGTTGTTCAGTTCGTGAACGACCATGATCTCGATGGCATCGACTTCGATTGGGAATACCCCTCCGCTCCGGACATTCCCGACATTGATCCAAGCTCCAACCCCAACGAAGGCAACGACTATCTCGAGTTTCTGAAGATGGTCAAGCGCCGTCTAGGGAATAAGTCTGTCTCGATTGCGTCGCCCGCTTCCTACTGGTATCTCAAGCAATTCCCTATCAAGGAAATCGGCAAGGTTGTTGACTACATCGTCTACATGTCCTACGATCTTCACGGACAGTGGGATCACGGAAACAAGTGGTCGAGTCCCGGATGCGAGGGCGGTAACTGTCTTCGTTCTCACGTCAATCTCACCGAGACCAAGACCTCTCTTGCCATGATCACCAAGGCCGGCGTCCCTTCGAACAAAGTGTTCGTGGGTATTGCGAGTTACGGGCGCAGCTTCCACATGTCTGAAGCTGGATGCACAGGACCTGAGTGCACCTTCACCGGTTCCAGGACCGAGTCGGACGCCATGCCAGGTCTTTGCACCGACACCTCGGGTTACATCTCGTCGGCCGAGATCCGTGAGATCCTTTGGAACAAGGACATTCTTGACGCGAGAGACTGGCACGATAAGGAATCTGACTCGGACATCGTCGTATACAAGGAGAACGAGTGGGTGGCCTGGATGAACGATGACACCAAGAAGTCGCGTATCGACATGTACAAGGGCCTCAACTTTGGCGGTGTCTCAGACTGGGCCGTCGATCTCGACAAGGACTACGGCGACAGCGGCATCGGCAACGGCGACAGTGACGACTCCAACCTCTCGGGTGGTAAGAACTGCCCCCTGAGCAAGACATACAACGACCTCGAGGAGCTTTCCAAAGACGATAGCGTGTCTGACGACTGCAAACCCGTTCTCGCCATCAACATCCTCGAGAAGATGCTTGACAAGTCCTTGGCCAACTACGATGACGTCGATAACGGATACGACAAGAATTTTGCTGCCTATCGCCGTGTCATGAAGGACTCCGCTAAGCAGGCCATGGCCAAATTCACCAGCTGGCATGATGGCAAGTACAGGGACTACTTTGATTGCGACATCAAGGCAGACGGAACTCATACCGAGAACTGGTCGGGTCCCTGTTCCGAGATGAAGAGCCACATTGCGGTTGTCGGGATGAACATCATCAAGCTCACGCTGAGGGACGAAGACGGCTTCTGGAACGCTGTCGAGGAAGAGACCGGCTGCATCGAAGATTGGATCGAGTTCGATTCTCTCAAGATCAACACGGACCCGAACGAGATTGCACAGAACTGCCCGCCTCCCGTCGGCATGACCCCGCAACCTTGCACGCCATCGTTGATCCTCTCAGTGGAGGGCTATCCCAAGCTGAAGTCCGACTTTGACATTCCGGATCCCAAGGACATCATCAAGGACGTCAAGACCAACCTCGACGAGATCCGCACCAGTATCTCATCCCGGTTCTTCGACGTGGTCGCGGGTATCTGGGACGGCGGCAACGGCGACGTGCTCCAGGTGCTGTCGGTCCCCATCTTCCTCATGGCGCAGGCCATCCAGTCCATGGAAGACGCGAAGGCGAAGGGTGGCGAGATCATCAAGGAAGAGAAAGAGGCATTGATCTTGAACATCATCTCGGCTCTGCTATTCTTCATCCCCTTCGTCGGAGAGTTCGCCGCCATGGCAGCCGGCGCGGCGACCGTCGCCCGTATGATTGCCATCGGAGGATTGGTCGGCAACACGGCCTTTAGTATTTCTGAAATTGCTGGCGATCCGTCTAACGCTGGAATGGCCATCATGGCACTGTTGAGTGCTGGTCGCGTCCGCAAGCCGAGGGACTTCATCGACCTCGGTTCCGCCAGGAGAGCGCAGACCAAAGCTGGCGTCAGTAAGATGGGACCAACCTTCAAGAAACACGACGACTCGTTGCAGAAGGTTCTCGGAAACTGCCGCAAGGAGGGGGACAAGAACGACGACAAGGAGCCCAACGCGTGCAAGTTCAAGAGGGATCTGCCCCAGTCCGACCTGGTCATTCGAGATGTTGTGCGCGAGAACCACATGGCCTGGGTCGGCAAGAGAGCCGCCAATAACAATAACAAGGGCAATTGTCCCACGACCGAACATGAGACGACAACGACCAAGATCGAAACCGTCATGACCACCCCAGACGTCACCTGCAAGAAGGAATGGACTCAGGCCTGCTACCACTACAGCTCAGTCATGAGCGTCCACAGCAACACCCCCGACATGGTCCGATGGACGTGCTGGGCAACCGCAGAGACCGGAAAGGACGGGTTGGCAACGGATCGTTGGGGCTACTGGCCGCGACAGACCCGCGCCAACTTCAAGATGCCCGCAAAGGCGCAGCACCATTGGGATTGGGGAGAAGAGTGGACAGAGCACGACGACTGCGAAAGAGACGAGTTCCCTCCCCGCCATTGGTGGGGAGCCATAAACACGGGCAAGAAGAACAAGAAGGGCGAGATCAGGTTCAAGGCGATCGAGGGCCAACTCGTGCGACTTATTCCCGCGAAGCAGAACGGAGGAGCCGGTTCGATGTGGAAGCAGTTCTGCGAGATCAACGATGGGTACAAGCAGAAACTCCCCGGCCTGGAGGAGATCAACGAGAAGCACGTCACCACCGACAAGGTCAGCAAGGTCAACCAGCAGATCAAGGGAGGAACGACCACTTACACCACCAGCCTGAAGGTCACCATCCCCAACGCCGTCTTCGAGATCAACCACTGGGAGCAGGCGCCGGCCAAGGACGACGGCCTGTGGGACAATCCGTGCTGGCCAAGCATGCTGCGCCCCGACGACCCGGGTTACGCCCTCCTCACCAACGACGACTGGTACGTTAGGAACCCGAACGCGCAACAGTACACGGCGGCCTACCACAACGAGCCGCCCAAAGCCTTGACTCAGGGCAAGACGAAGAAGCGAGCGCAGGGCAATCGGCCGATCATTGCAGTCCGCACGCTCCACAGCCCGGACGCCATCTACGCCGATGACCTCCCGAAGACGTGCGCGGAGCCTGGGCTTTATGACGACTGCGGTGTTGAGCGGGATGTCTTGAGAGAGAGGGAGGTATATGTCGACGAGGATGGGGAGGAGTACATGGAGTTGCTCCCGGAGGACGAGTATGACATCGACTTCTCGGCGCTGGAGCAGATGCCCACGCCATCCGTGCCGCGGACGGCTGAGGCGGTTGCCACGGCGTATGTGAAGTACGAGGAGGAGGTTGAATATGCCACGCCGGGATCTGCTATTGCAGCGGATATGCCCAAGCCAACAAATGGTCTGTTGTGAGCGGAGAAGGGAAGATAGTTGTGGTCTTCAAAAAGATGTATGAGGCTGCAGAGACATGTCTGCACAGATGGACCGACGTCCAAGATATTTTCATAGGTATACTTTATTTTCAATGCACATATTAGCCATGTTCATGAATATCGCTGCCAATTTTTCTCTTGCTGCCGGTGGAAGGTGCTTGGCTGCCGTCCAAGACTTGTGTTGGTGGCCTTCGGCCACCATCATGACAGAGTGCACGCTGTGCGAAGTCTATAAAACGCGTACAATAAGAACTAGCCCGTCCGCAATTGTTGCTTTTGACCAGGCACTTGGAGAAGAAGCTTTCCAGAGCGACCGATGCGGTACCTATGCGAAGGCAAGGTGCTGGAAGGGTCTTTGCATGCGTGCTCTTCTCCAGGGGCTCACTCATTAACATACCAGACCAAGACCATGACGTAGTCGACAGCAAGGTAGAAGCATAACTTTATATAAACATCTCAGTTCCATACAGATCTATGGAAACTGTAGCAGCCGCGCGAATGCGTCGTTGCAAGTTCTTTGCATGGTCTCGCAGGAGATGGTCGATGACATATGAGGATACGACACTTGCTGAACTCTGTGTATGACTGTTCTTTGATACATTGCTTGTGAGAAGAGCTGATGCCGAATACTCACGAGGCGATGGTGGAGAGAAATGAGGAACGAAGGTCCGCGTTTCCAATAGTTTCGCTGTGTAGCAAATCCTCCACATGAGCTAGAATTGCGAAACACATAACTAGTATCACCTGTAACATCCCTCAGCCTATCATGTTCAAGAGCCAAGATTGAACATCGAGGACATGGTGTTGTGGGACTTGTAGCCTTGATTCATTCCAAGTCAATGATTTATATCCTAACTCAATACCTTTCGCAAACCTACGTGTATCAACGGAAGCTTAAGCGGAGGCATAAGTGTTCTGCCACTCGGTATAAAAGGTTGGCCAGACCCACAGTGGATTCAGACAGCAACATAGAACGCGTCTCTGATCAATGGACGCTTCAATAGATTCTGGTTTTCAGACGGCGTGCCACTCCCAATGGTAGATTGGGAACGTGAGTCTTCGGGGCTTACTTCTATTCAACTCATCACTTCATTCGGCATACCGTTCTCGCGGTTGATTCTGGTGGAATACACGTGAGATGGAGGCAAGAACCAAAGACGACCAGCAGCATACGCAGCATCCGGGCTTGGTGCATTGATATCCTTCGGCCAGATGGACGCGGAAACCCGACGATCCGGTGCGTCTCATAGCAGAGAATACACTATCGCGGCCGGTTCCAAATACCAAAGCTCAGCTTTTGTGGTGTCTAAATTGAAGCGGAAGATATACCGGCGTCCCACGAGCGCAGAGAGTGCTGCACATCCAACAAAGTTTCCATCCCGGCTCTGAAGAAGCCACACGGACCCACACCGGACCCGGCTCCGGCGCCGGCCTCGAACCAAAAGATCATCACATCACAAAACACAATGCTAATAAATCAAATTCGCTCTGCCTGCAATCCTATCAGAGGTCTTTCATAGATCAAAGCGGAACTACAAACCCGACCATTCCGTGGCTGTCGGGAAATTCTGCACCCCTGCATCGGCCCCATGCCGGATCCAGGGCCCCGACGCCCTCCTACATCCACAACCACCCACGAAATGCAACATCAACTTGCTTGCAAGCTGTCCCAACATCTCAGTTCATCAACAGCTGTCAAGCGCCGATGGTTTAGTGGTAAAATTCTCCGTTGCCATCAAGCAGCGTCGGGGAGCCGGGGGTTCGATTCCCCCTCGGCGCAGTCTTTTACCTTTAGTAAGGAATTACAACGTCTAGGTGTCTTTTTTATTACTAGGAGCATCCAGAGCATTATTAGGTATTAGGTGCTTAAGTAGTAGCAACTACTATACTTTATAGATATAATATATATAAGTTAAATAAAAATTATAGAATAAGCTGTAAGAAATAGGCTTTACTAGGTTACTAGTCCCTATCCTATACTGTATACCTAGGCGCATTAATAGCCTCTAGTAAAGAAACGGCCGCTAGCATTGGAACGGCGCAATAAAGATCAAAAGATGTGTTCACTGGTATCTAAAGGATATAAGTGAACGATCTCGAACTCTTCAGCGGCAAAAAAAAAAGGATTGGGCCCTAACCAGGGATCGAACCTGGGACCTCTCCCAGGCTGAGATGTCGACTGACAACCCTAAGGGAGAATCATACCGCTAGACCATCAGGGCTGAGGAATTGATTGATTCCGATGATTGGATGTTCAGATGAGCGATTTCGTGGTACATATCGCAAACCGCCGGCCCCTCTTCTAAGCCCCTTTTCGGTCGCGCACTTTACCATCGCGGCCAGCCAAAGCACGGCCCGGTCTCCTCTCGTACTCTGCTCGCTCCAGTTGTGATCGCCAACAGCAGCAATTCTAGAACGCGAAGGTCAAGGCGGCCACAAGCAATAGCGTCTGGATCCCGCAAATCACCCAATTAGCCAAGTCGGGGGGGATGCTCCATTCAAGCGCGCTGAGCCTCTCGATGCCAATGGGATGATCGCTCAATGCATCGAAAATGATCTTCAGGCACGGCACTTCCTAGGGCGTTCCTCCTGCCCTGCCGGGGCAACAGTCCGTCGCATGCCAGCGGTGCTGAACATGCGTCCCCGGCACACAACACATGGAGATTGGAGACGGATTCACAACAGAGGGCTATTCTTAGAGGGAAACAATCAGTCGCCCAAGGACCTATCATCCGCTATCCGGGCCTTGCCCACATGGCCGGCCGCTTGTACGCGGCACTTCAGTCGCTGTTCTACAGAAAGGCTGCTTACTTGCTTCGCAAAGGTCTACGACGAAAATGTTTACCACGTTTTAAGGGGTCAACTCGTCCGAACTTTCGTTTCTCGCGGTAAACAGCAATAAGCTTGTGCTTGTGCTACGACCTGCCGATGGGAAGGGTTCGCAAGCCTAAAAGACCAGACGGTTCGCAGGAGTCAGGGGCCGGCGCCGTCCAGGGAGAAGAAACAACCAGCAGCAGAACGGCTCCCTGAGACGGGCAGTAGCTCCGTTCTGCCCTGACGAGGCCTATGACGCGTTCGGGATTGCCACTGGTCTCTGCTTACTAGCACTGCCCGGTGGAGAATCCGGCGAGGGACCTGTCACGTCGTCGAACACTCGGAAGAAGGGAGCTGGAAGAATGAGAAGAATGAGAAGAAGAAGAGAGAGAAAAGTGGTGAAGCCCACCGCGTTCCCACACCGGGTGGACCGGGTCTCCGTATCCGTCGCCTCTGCCCTGGAACAGCTGGGAGATCCAGACCCTCCTTTATGCCAACCCCCCGGCCGCGTACGGGCCGTTGTGCGGCAGCCGCACACTTGGATCGGACCATGGGCCCGGTCGGCAGGGTGGAAAAAAGGATGAACGACTGTCACTGAACCGCGGCGAGTACGAAGTCAGTAAATGAGCTGGTGAGGCGCTGCAGTGATGTTCGTCCAGCATGTTGAGACTATAATAAGGTAAACGAGGGGGAAGCCCGAGATAGGATGCTCCATCCCATCCAATGCCCAGAGACTGAGCTGTCGAGTGTCAGTCAAGTCAAGGCCAGATGCCTTGGTTGTGGGATTGGTCTAATCTCCAGAATCCAATGCCACAAAGACGTCCTGTCACAGGCTGTCAGTGTATTCCCATCGGATGATTCCTAAGTGTGTGCTCATGCTGCATACGCAAGCGTAAAAAAGTACTCTCGACGGCGTCAGGATTCCGTCGTCCATCCTCGATCCGAATGTTGGTCGAGAGGAGGGGTAGATTGAGTCTAGAATATGCACGCTGACAGCATGTTGAGGATTTTTGAAAACACCTCGTCCAACAAAATCAAGCTGACAAGAAGAATCCAACAAACGGATGCCATCGAAATCGTGGGATAAACGTCATGGAGGGCGAGCAGTGACGATTGTTCCGCAGCCTCGACCCGGGAGTCGTCGGCCTTGTGCTGGACATTCTGCATTTTGGGTGAGAGATTTAACTTTATGCAAAGCCGGGCACCTCCACCGGATCTCCACCAGGGAGTGAGAGCTTGGAACCGAAGGGGGCATTCTCTTGCTTCCGTCAAAGACTTTGGAGAAACCTGAATCGTCAACCGGCTTTTGTCGACTCGTCCCTCTTGTCACTTGTGTCACTCCGCTACGGGTTATCATTCAGAATGTCCACTGAGTATACCCCAGTATGAGGTCGTGTACCTGGGGTTTGAGTTGTCAGTGTGTCACTACGTTATGTATGCGTGTGTTGTTTGAATGTTTGCGGACTGCTGTCCAACAAGAGTTCGTGGTCGCCAGTCCCCTCATCGCCTCAGGGCCACATTCCGTGTTCCAGGCCCAGCTGGCGGTCGCCATTTTCCCCTCACACCACACCAAAGTTACCAAACAAGCACCGACGAGCGGGTGTACCTGACGGCGGCGCTTGGTGCCGGCATTTGGATTGGGTCCACGGGGCGGGCTGGGCTGGAGGAGGATTGGAGAGTGTTCAACAAGTGTTTACACTACTGTAAGGTACAAGTACATCCCACGAGTTACGCATGCGCACAAAGTTTCCATTCTGCTCAGTATCCGTACATTGGGTTTCCCAAGTGATGCACCACAACGGAGACCAGCAGCGCGTGGTTTTTTTGGCGCCCGGATCTCCATGTCATCAAGTCCACTCATCTCATCCATCCACAGTGACACACACACACTCATTCACTCACTCAACCACTCACTCATTCTCACATACACACATACACACAGCCAAGTATGGTTTCCCAAGTCACAAAGATGCCAATTGGCAGGTGAATCGTAGACGGGATTACAGAGTCGCAGCAGTCTTCAAGGCTCAAGCTGGAATAGCCCGGGGATTCGCTTGGACTCGATCCGGGACCAAGCTTTGGCTTGCGGTGAAATTACCTTCCCCACCCCCTTTTCCCGCATCGCGGTCAACACACCGTCCAATCCTGCGTCCCGTCAATGGGCTCTCTGGGCGTCGTCCGGTGGTGGCACCCTACCCTCCATCTCGTTCTCCTCCTCCTCACTCGTCACTCCTCCTCGGCCAGGACAGGGCCTAGCCCACACACCACACACCCCCCTGAGATGTTCCAACTTCCGTCGTGGTGTGGCCCTGGAACCGAAAAGACGCCCACACCATGTCGGCTAGCCCTCACTCTCGGTCCACGACTTTGCCTGGACCACCTTGCCCCTTTGGGAACCTGTTCCTGACTAGACAGGGTTCACGAACGGGTTTGTGATGGCCAGTCGGAGGACGCACGATAGAGCAGGACGCGCTTCTCGAGTGACGACGCCCCTGTCCATACGTCCATATCCCCTGGTCGCCTCATGTCCCTCCCTAACATCCTCCACAACGGGAGACTGGCGCAGAGGAGAGACAGGAAGGACGGCCGCGATCTAATGAGATTTGTTTCCCGTCCCTTCAAAACGGGCCATATCTCCCTCCCTTTTTCCTCTGCCCATCCCGGTTTCTCCTTCACCTTCTCTCCTTCCAAACCACCATCGTCCAACACTCCGCGATAGTCATCGCTGTCACTCTTTTCGGACGGGTTCAAAAGCACAAACACTTCAATTCCCAAAACATACCCTAGCGTTTACGAAGTTTGACGAAGTCTCTCCCTCACTCCCTTCTCACACGACGATACACAAACCGAAAGTCAAGATGCAGCTCACCAACACCATCGTCGCCCTCTCGGCCGCCCTCTCCGCCGGCGTGTCCGCCCACCCCTCCCTCCACGGCCACCAGCGCTTCCACGAGCGCCGCACCGAGGAGCCCCGCGACCTGACCTTCTTCAAGAACATCCTCCCCCAGCAGTCCTCCTCCGCGACCCCGACCGCCACCGCCGCCGCCACCCCGTCCGCGACCGGCGGCGCCACCGGCGAGTACGTCCCCTTCTGCTCCGGCAAGACCAAGCGCGCCACCATCCAGCAGATCGCCTACTCGGGCAACACCGGCACCGAGGACTCCTGGGGCTGCAACATGCAGATCGTCGACGACTCCATCAAGAGCCTCTACAACTACACCACCACCTTCACCTCCTCCAAGGACACCTACTCCTGCTCCTGCTTCAACAAGATCGGCCCCAAGGGCCTGATCGACGGCGCCTGGTTCGCCGCCCTCACCTTCACCGTCAAGGAGGGCCAGTCCAAGAACGTCGCCTTCGAGGCCGACTCCCAGGGCTCCTGCGCCTGCGGCCCCGGCTCCGAGGTCCCCAAGACCTTCATCGGCCAGTTCGCCGGCACCTGGCTCGAGTTCGACTGGGGCTCCACCCCCAACGGCGGCAACTCCGGCGCCGACGCCTCCGTCCTCGTCGCCGGCGCCTCCAACATGGCCTACTACGGCATGAAGGTCGCCGCCAACGGCAAGACCTGCTCCTGGGTCAAGTCCGACGGCTCCAACGAGGGCGCCTACATGCCCGGCATGGAGGCCGAGGACGGTGTCGGCTGCAAGGGCTACTACAACGCCCACCTCGACGTCACCCTCGGCGACAACTTCACCGCCTAAGCGGAGACCGAGAGAATACGCTCTCATCTCTGTGGACGTGGTTCCACCGATAAAAACAGACAAAAAACCCGGGTTGCGTTGTCGGGGAAAAAGGAGGGGGTCTCGATTCTCGCTTTTCTTCCCAAGGCCCGCCTCGACGATCAATTTACTTGCTTTTTACATACATCGCATATACAGCTTCTTGACGGCGCAATTGGGAAACGGGATACCTTTCTTTTTCTTTCGGGGCTCTTTTTGGTCGGCGAGGCTGAATCTTTTCCAGCATCACGACACCATCTATTATCCGATGGCCCCGCCGCCAAATTTTGTTTTGGACATTGTGCAGATATCTCGGATATCGAACGAACATGGTCGGGCGGGGGGGATTTACATACCTCCCCTCCCTCGGCTTACAAATATACCTAGTGTCTGCTTCTTAATGCGACATAAACTCATCCTACGACTCTGCTTTCCCAATCGCTCAGTGTGTGCTCCTGTGATGAGATAAGTACTTCCTCAGAAAGCGTGTGCATGTGTGTCGTGTGTCTATGTCTTCCGGGCGAGTGGTTCGTCTCATCGGTTCGTCTCATGTGATGATAGCGGGGGAGAATCAAGCTTCACATGCGTTTCGGCCGGGACATGGGATCACACGTGGCTGGCTCTTGGTTGACGGGGATGGATGTTTTGGTAATGGGTAAGGAATGCTTCTCATAACAGAGTCATTCATCGCATTTTCGCGGCATGACGATTTTTTGGATCGCAACTTACACGACGCTTAAATCGCTCATGCCGAAGCCATCCAGACACAGCCAATTCTTCATGTGCCCTCATCCTTCTAGTCTACATCTCATCTCAAAAACCTTATACAGTATTCGCCCGGAAACGGACTCAGCATCCTATCAGTAAGTCTCCTCTTCATCGTTCTCCAGCCGCAACTCAGCCTCGCCGTCTTCCCCGATACGCAAGTCAGCCAAATCAAGCCCGTCATCCAAAAGCTTCATCGCATTGCGGTCATCCTCAGGCTCGGCCTCGTACGGCTTACTTCCCTGCTCCGTTGTCTGCCCAGACGGAGATGAGCTCGGACGAGCGGCAGCGAACCGGCGGGGACGCGGCGCCGGCGGGGGCGAGCCCGTCAGGATCGCGGCGGGGTCCCTCATCGGCCTCCTCCGCACCTCCCCGTCCCTCTCGACGAGCCGCACCGGTGCCCGTGTGGGGTTGTGGTTGTGTCCGGCGCTGAGGTGAATCGTCGAGGGCGTCTCATCGTCTTGCGTATTCGGTGGTTGAGTCCGTGGAGACGGAGTCCGAACGATGCGCGACGGACCAGCTCCACGAAGCTGCTCGCCATCCTTTTCCTCCCCACCCCCAAAGACATCATCGCCATCAAACCTCACCCCCGTCCCCCGTTCCTTTCCCCGATGCTCCTCCTCGACCCTCCGATTCGCCCGCAAAAACGCCCCCATACTCCCCGGCGTGAGCGGCCGATGCTGCCCCTCCTCGTGCCACCTCCGGCACCCCGCCACGCGACACGGGTGATAAATACAAACGCCCCTCCTCCTCCTCCCGCTCTCCTCCGTGATCCGCTCCTGCCTCGCCTTCTCGCACGCCCACCTCGCCCGCTCGTCCTCGCGCCGGTTGACCGCCGCCGAGGTCCTCTCGTACAGCTCGTACTCGACGACGTGGGCCTCGTGGCCGTCGGGCTTCACCACGATGACGGTGCCGTCGCGCAGCGTCCCGTCCAGCCCCGCGATGAAGTACACGCGGTGCCGGCGGAAGACGCAGTCCGCGGTGGTGTAGTCGAGTTCGTGGGCGAGGCCGGACGGCATGGCTACGGCGGGGGACCATTCCGCGGGGACCCAGGCCTCGTCGGTGGCCTCGGCGGAGGGGAGGGGCGGGAGGTGGTGTTGGGTCGGGGGGTTGAGGTAGGCGGAGAGGAAGGAGGTGGTCGCCGGGGATGGGTTGGGGACTCGAAGGGCGGGGGTGTAGCCGAAGCCGAAGGGGGAGTTGGCGCCGGGGAGGGTGAGGCGCGGATGAGTTGGGGGGGTTGAGCTGTTGAGGCTGCTGCTGTGTTCGTCGCTGGATGTGTAGTTGGAGGAGGAGGAGAGGCGGGCGCCGCCGGTGTTGGATCGGGGCGAGGAGGAGTGTGAGGGATCGGAGTCTGAGATGAAGGTCGGTGGGTAGGGTGTTTGGGATCGCCGTTGGCCCTGGGGGGGAATCCTGGTCTGAGGTCGTCCTCGAGGAAGGTTCACTTGGCCCGGGTTGGCGGGGGTGACGTTCTGGGGTTGGAAGGGTGATGCCATCGTGGCTGATAGTTTTGGGTTATGCCTCGAGCCGTTATATCGTTGCCTTTGGCCGCGAAATGAGCTGCCGCGAGCGAAGGGTGTTGCAACTCTACTGCCGCGAGCACCTCCGAAGCTCGTCGGTCCTGGGTATGATTCAGTCTGAACAGCCGGTGAGTACTCGGTATTATCCTGATCGTTGAAGATGTTATCGAAGTAGTCTTCCGGAATAAGGCAGATGTCACACGCCGCGTCTTCCGGACCGAGCACGACGCGATAGCTCTCGTCGCCACAAGCGCCGAACGGTAAAGACTCAGAAATGACGAGGTCGCAGGGGTCTTGGAGGTTTGCGAAGTTGACGTGGGTGCCGCAGTGCATGCAGAGGGACTGTGGTAGGAGTGTCCAGCACATTTTATAAGGTAAGTGGAGGGTATCGGAGACGGTATGACGGCAAGGTTGGCGGCGATGGAAGTAAGTTTGAGAGGTGTCTGGCTAAGAGGAAGGGTGCTTTTCTGGTATGAGACGCAAAGCGAAGACGGAGATGGGTTTTGAGGATACTTTATGGTCTAGTCGGTCGAGAGCTGCCTAGCAGGCTGGAGATGAGTTGCCTTGGTGCTTCTCTTTCTTCGTTTGGGGGATATGGAATCAGGCGTCGAGATGTCCATTGTTTTCATTGTCTGGAGGAGGACTTGAGGGACACCCTTATGTTCGAGGTTGTTCGAGATAGCATTGCCAATACCGAGAAGATAAAAGGCCATTGCAAGTTTTTCACATGGCTCTCTTGTCCCGAGACTTGGTTTGTGACAATGCTTTTCATTGTTGACATGCTCTTTGTGAGTCGAGGCATTCTTCAAGTCGTCGACGTAAGAAATCAAAGGACCTTTTTGAACTTCAAAGACAGTGCCCAAGGTCGGAGACAACTGAGCCTTTGGAAAAGTCTAAAGACGGATTGTTGTCCAGCGAGGTTATGACCAAAAGTGGCTTTAACGACACGGTCTTGTCCATCAAGGCCTCAAAGATTCATCGTTACCCCGGCTCATAGTGAAGACAAGTTCATTTCATACTCATTCTAGCAAAATGAAGATGTGGCCCTTAAACAGATGATTCAAGAACACCTTGCTCAAGAAAAAGTGAAGAAGTACACCATAACGAACAGCAAAAACACCAACACAACCCAAAAAAGACAAAAGATATCGACGTTGGCCTGATTCGAACAGACGCTCCCGAAGGAACAAGATTTCTAGTCTTGCGCATTAGACCACTCTGCCACAACGCCCGGGTGTCGAACCTGGAATCCGTCCAGGTTCGTGACGGTGCTCGCGATTCGTGGGCTTATGGAGCGGTGTGGTCAGCCCTCTCTAGCGAGTCACGGGTTGCAGGGGTTGTGTCGTCAAGCAGTAAGCGGGGCGCTTGACGGCTGACGGGTTCGACGGTACCCTTGAGAGCTCATTTGCAGGACGTGTGTTGCGGAAGAGGCTGAGATCTATCCTGGGTTTGAGGTGGTTGATGGTTTGTGAATTGGCCGTGCTTGAGGAGATTTGCTGGGGGATGAATTGCTTCTGATTCACATATATGACCACGGAACGAAAGTTCAAGGAAATTGCATTCAAACACCTTACTAAACCGTTCTATCCCAAAAGATAACCTCGAACCTAAAGAGACGCACTTACCAGACACATGATTCACACAATCACTCACTCATCGGGGACGCGAACCGTATGTCAGATTGCACCCGGTCCGGCATAGGCGACGGGAGTTGCGACGGGGCGTTCGGGGCGTTCGGGGTACCAGAAGCAGCCTCGCGATGAGCGGCCTCGGCAGCCTCAACGGCCCTCAACATTGCCTCCTGCCGCTTTTCATTCTCCTTCTCCTCGAACCTCTTATCCTCCTCGTCGACCTCGCGGGTATCCCTCGACCCAACGAGCCCGGTCGCCATCTCCCGCGTGGTCTTCTTGACGTGATCGACCAGGCTTTTCTTGGCGTCCTGCAGAGTCGCAACCAGGCCCTGGACCGGAGTCTGCGCCAGCCCCGTGACGCCGAAGTGGCCGTACAGCGCCGTCTCGATGCCCTCCCAGACGGTGTCGGCGTGGCGGGCCAGGCCGCCGGTGAGGTTGTGGACGGCGTCCCAGAGGCCGTAGTACACCTTGTTCTCCAGCTCGGTCATCTGCAGGGCGTGGTTCCTCTCGGCGGTGGACATGGTGGAGCGCATGCTCTCGGAGAACTCACCTCGTTGCTCGCGCTCGGCCTCGGCGCGCAGCCGGTCGAGGTCCTGGCGGTGCAGGCAGCGGGGGCAGATTATGGCGCGGCGGATGTAGAACTCGTGGCGGTTGACCTGGGTGCTGACGAGGCTCTCGAAGCCGGCCCAGGCGCAGCGGCAGTCGGCTTGGGGCATGCCGCCGTGGGAGCCGCCGCCGCAGCCTTCGTGGCCGATGATCTCGGCCCAGTACTTGTCGCAGCCGCCGTTGGCAGTGGAGAGGCAGCGCCGGAGTTCGAAGAGTTTCTTGCACATTTCGGCTGGTGGTCCTGATTTGTTAGATTGTGTTTGGAGTGAGGTTTTGCGCGGTACGTTGTTAGTATTTGCTGTGTTGTTGATTGGAGTGATGGAGCAAAACGCTGAGATGATGATGCTTTTGAGAAGTCATATATAACCTCGAAATGGCCATCTTCAATGCCGAACAGGTTAGGAGATGGGAAACAATGGAAGAGAACAGTGACAAGTGTCACTAAGCTTTGTCAAGAAGCTAACAAGAGATTGTATGGCGCAGAAGAACGAGGTGTCCGTCTTCAATTATTGAGGCTGATAAAGAGCTTTGATGCTAGATGGTGATGTTGTGTTGTTGGAGTAGAACAGACTAAAGGGCTTTGTTCAGCATCAAGTCCGTGACAAGGGAACGACCAGGACAAACGCATTGTGTCACAGCTGCACTGGCAGCTGTACTCGAATGAGGCATATGGCGTCTCAAAAGCTTCGAGAAAGCGAGCTTTGAAGTGTTGCAAGGGATACCCCTTCCGAAGACGAGCCCTGAGACGGTAGCTTGGAGCCGATGGAAGCCAAAAGCCTCGACTGGAGAATCGACTTTCTCGCCCAAAATCCCCGAGATCCCTTTATCCCGGATCACCTGGGAGGGCTGACGTCGGGACCTGCCGAGATGGACCCTGGATAACAACGCGTCGTGGAAACTGTCGGGAACGTTGCGGGTAGGGTGAGCGGTGCCTGGTGCCGGGCCATGCGGCGCGCCCGCCTAGGACGCCACTGGGATCTAGCGGCGAGACGAGGCGTTACAGCTGCGAGTCCTGTGACGGATGCTTGTCTTACAAGCCGTTGGTGGAGTGATTGTCGGTTTTCGCGATGTGGAAGGGCTCGAGGTGATGGACCACTTGGCGTCAGCACTGGAGATGCTTCTCTGGGTCGCGAAAGATGCAAGATGCCGACTGCAGCATCTTGATGTCCATTCGGGACGGTCCCGTTGATGGGAGCAACTATTGTCGGAACGATGTGCCGCTGGTGTCAGACCTAGTGATTGATGGATGCCGCGGCTGCGACTGAGAAAATGCGACATAACTGTCTCGCCATTTGGTTAGGCGGCGCTGATCAAGGGATGTGGGAAGGATCTGGTTGTCTTGGTATTGGCTGTTTTTGGAAGGTCAGGCGGGAGGATTCGAAAGTAGCGATGGGATGGCAGTATGATCTTCGTGATGGATGGTAGCTGTTGGAGGATGAATGTTGGTGATGCATTGAAAGCGTGGAAGGCGAATAACTGCCACAGTTTGGATACAGTGCGTAGCAGGCCTCACCACCGACTTTTTGCCTGCACAGTTCTGAAAACACTGTACGTGGAGGATCGGGTCGGTCCCTGATCCATGGCTGCAACCCCCACGATCCGGGCAAAGCGAAGCTGCTGAAAATCTTAGCTGACTGGTTTTGGACTCGAACGACAGCGAGGAATGCTCACTGTGAATGTTTCATTTAATTACTCGGCGCTTGGGGCGTACGTATGGATATTCTTCTCAGCTGTGCTCTGTGTCTGATCCTTCGAGAGCGGATATGCACCTCTCCCACGGCTCAAGTCAAAGAGGCTTCCAGAGTTTGGGACTGGGCCGGTGAGCACGCGGTGAACGGTCCGTGGTCTCAAGACGAAGGAGAAGAGTCGACGTAGCATCCATCACGTGGCGACGTGACGGAGATGCAGCGGTTCGGCAAGTCGAAAACGGGGCCGCTGCGATGTGAAGGATAGACCCGGTACCAGAAGAGAGGATCCAGCGGTTGCTTCAAGCAGGGTCCCAGTTAAATTTGCTTCGGAGCGTTTCTGATGTGATTATCGCCGGTTGCCCAGGTTGCCAGGTGGAATGAAGGAGCATCGACCCTCAGTCGGCAGTTTCGACAGTAATCATGATTGAATGTTTGCCAGCTTATCTCGTCGGCTCATGGAACCTTGAAGTGGCCGAAGTCGTGCAGATGCAGGTAATAATTAAATTGGCCCCAACAAGGCGGACAGACTGACGGGCAGAAAGCCTAAGATCCAAAGATGACGCGACTGACATCCACCGACTGCAGCACGCCAGTCCGGGCACCGAGAAATGATACGTACCTTGTCCTTGGAACTACAGATGCACGGCCAGTTGGGGGGCCGGAACTGAGGCAAGACAGAGAGATACTTCGTCGTAGAGACAGAGAGAGAGAGAGAGAGGCATTCGCAAGGTTCAGCCATGCAACCAAAAAGATACCCAATACCACGGTCTCAATAAGGCCAAGGTCAGGTACGAATACCTAATTACTGCTCAACAAGAAAGTGGCAGGTCGCAAACATTGCCATCCAGTCCTTTCTCTGCTTACTGAAGACCCCATCCCATTACGAACACATACCAAAAGCCGTCATCGCTGTGACATTGACACCGACACCCATGTGCTTCTGCTTCTGTCCCTGCTGAGGTGCTTCCTTCTTCCAATTGTCAGCCAATGCGCACTTTCTCTAGCCGCCAACGCCAACGCCAACATCTTTTTGCGACACCAATTCTTTCCATCTGACACTGACACCTACGCACCAACACCACGCCGCCGCCGTACTCACCACAAAACACCATCGACTCCCCGAACAGACTGCTTTGTACGAATCCTCGGCACAAACTATGCCCGCCCCTCGCTCTGCAAGGAGATGATTGCGTCTCACACAGGAGGCTGAAGATTGACGCTGTTGACGTCGACCGCAACCCCCGGGCCAGCTTCCACTTCCACCGAGCCTTGCCTTGCGATCGATCCCTTGACTCTGCGTCCGCACCACCACCACCTTCTTCTTGTCTCGATACTATCGTAATTGCTTCCTGTTCTGCAACCACCCGCCATCCCTGCGTCATTGGATTGGATCGCGCCTGACCCCTCCGTCCATCCATTTCACTGCCTATCCCGCGATGCTATCTCACCTGCGCTTCCATCGACGGGGCCAGTCGAATCCTACTTCGCCAAATCCCGAACAACCCTCCGCTGCTGCTCCCTGGGATCCCTCGCGTCCCCAGCAGTCTCCCTTCATTCAAGATGCCGCCCCAAGCCCAGATACCCGGTCGCCCTCGGCCACGACGAATTCCTCGCTGCCTCCTGTTCTACCCCCGATCACTCGCGTCGCCTCGACTTCCTCCGGCTCCGAGTCGCCCCTCGACCTACCCACCATCGACTCCAAGGCGATCCAAGAGACGTACACCCAAAGGTCCGAACCCACGCCGCCTGTCCCGGTGCGCTCGCCAAACAATTCCCAGTCCGGCTTTGTCGGTGGTGTCGCCTTGCGCAAGCAGCTGGACGAGCGACAACTGCAACAGCTCCAAAAGCTTCAGCAGCAGCAACGACAACACGAACAGCAGCTGCTGCAGCAGCAAATGGCAGCCCAATCGCCGGATTCCGCCGGCACTACCGTCATCGATCATGGCGGTCACGAAAGTCACTTCTCGAGATCCAAGCCCGCACCGCCCCCGCCGATAAATACGGCCCCTCCGACGAGACCCCCACCTCAACCCACGAAGTCGTCAAAATCCAGCTTCTTCGCGACGCCCACCGACCTGCAGAACCAGCACCTCAGCCCGACGACTCAATCCCAGCCGCCTGCCCAGAACTATGCGGCCACCGGACGAAGACCCGCCGGAACTAGACTGTCGAGCGAACCGACACACGTCCGCATGTCGAGCCACGCCGGCGATGCCCCCAAGGGCAGGAAAGGCCTGCCTTTTCTGAAAAATCCCATGTCCACCCTGCTCATGCGCAGGAAAACGAGCCAGAATGCGCCCGACTTGTCACCACTTCCCCTCGGCGGGAACAGGCTGGCAGAGCCCTCTTACGATCCCCGTATTAGAGGTACGCGCGTTCACGACTTCAGCGCCCCGCGATCGAGACGAAGCGTGCCGGCGAGCGATCAATCGACTCCCCCGGTCGCTTCAGCAGTGAAGCCACAACCACCGATATACGAGGAGAAGTTGGACCTGGGAAAGACGTCGTCCAGAGAAAGCGCAGCACCATCCTTCCAACACGGCAGAAATGCCAGCAACGCGTCGGATTCCGGTCGCTCGGGGTCTGTCAGTGCCTCGCAAACTGTCGCGGCATCCAGCAGTGTCGCATCCACCAAGGCGAGAAGCAGTCTGAATCTCGATTCCAAGCCTCTACCCGATGTTCCGCCGAAAGACGTTACTGCCACTTCTTCGCGCTCTGCATCGGTCGTCTCTAAGAAGCCGTCCATCAGCGCCTCAATCTTCTCCAAGACAATGCCATCCACGAGAACGAACCGATCCAGACATGTTTCCCTCTCTGCCCAAGATACGCTCTCCTCCGTGCCTCGGCACATGAAGAGTACATCTTCCAGGTTCAGCTTCGACATGGTTGGTGCAGCAAAACAGGAAAAGCTGCTTGAAGAACGCCATCGTCAGCGCGAGCTGGAAAGGAAGACATCCGATCCTCCAAACCCGAATCGCGATTCCCGATTTGACGATTTCGACGACGATTTCGACTACGACGCCATGATGGACGACGATGGCATGGAGGAGCCAATTCCCATGAGCAATGACTTTGACGACGATTACCCGTACGAGGAGGACTTCGACGCTGCTGGCACAGATCCCCTCGGTCTCGACGGCGAGGAAGATTTCGACGCTGGCGGTACCGACCCGCTAGGCCTCGACTCCGTTCCCGAAGTCGAGATCGAAGCTGACGACGACGCCGAGCTCGACCCCGACAACGACCAGGAAAACTTTGCTGGTTTTGTCTTTCAGCGATCGAACCCGGTATCTGCGTTGACAAGCCCGCACAGCGCAGGTCTGGCCGCAACCCCAAGAGACGCCGAAGGCAGAGTGATCGGCTTTGCCATGTCCAGAGATACACCAGACTTGAAGCCATCTCTAACACCAGACTTGTATCATGAGCACGTCCCGGAGCCAGACACAACGGAATCTATGTCTGAACATGCAACCGAGGGACTGGGTATTGTTGACCAGGAGCATCAGCACGAGCCGGAACTCGACTACGCGCAACAAGATCAGTCACAGCAGGAGCAGGCACATCTGCAAAACCAGCAGGAGTTGCCTGCTGGTATGCCACCACCACCGCCGCTGCCACCCCCACTACCTAAGAAGGACGACCTCTACTTCGACAATGGCCTCTTGGATGAACTCGATTTTGCTGGCGAGGGCGACGGTTCAACGTTTGACGAGTCAATCTTTGATCTGGACGACACCGATAAGTACGGTCGCCCACTTCCGGGCGTGTTTGCAAAGTTCCAGGCTGCTCGTGCTGCAGCCAACGCTCCGACCGCCCAAGACACGACTGCTGAGGGGACGACCTCTCAGGACACCGCAGACAACGACACCTCTGGCCAAGAAGGTGCTCCTCGGAGTAGCAAGAGAGTGTCGGACAGCACATCGCGACACTCTGCCCACTCCAACGTCTCGCAGTCGACTGCTCACACCTCGCTAAGCGTCGACATGCCGGCTCCGTCGGCGGAAGAATCCAAGAGACAAAGCGATGTTCTGGGCCCGGACGAAGCATCTTCGGCCATGACCTCCAGCTTTTCGAACGCAGAGCAAGGCAAGATGGAGGCTTATCAGGCCGCTCTCGCTGCGGCTGCCTTTGAAGCTGCCGCCAATGGCAAGTTCCGACGAGATTCGTCACCCCCTCCGAGCGAGATCCTGTCGCCCGGCGACGAATCGTCCCATAGCCTACCGCCGCAAGACGACTACGAATTCGACGACTATGATGACAACGGCTTTCGCGACGACCTAGACGACAACGACTTTGATTACGACGATTTTATCGCCGAAGCAAACGCCAGTGCTCTCGCTAACGATCAGGACGGTTGGTATGGCCAAGAGTTCGGGTTCTACTCAGCACCCATCGAAGGAGGTCGTCACAGCAGAGATAATTCGACTGGATCAGAGGAGAAGCCATTCGAGTACGCCAACGGAGGGTTTTTCGGACCCTCTGGCGTCTCTAGAAGCAAGTCTGGCCGCATGATCTCGCGCGAGCCTAATCTGACGCCTATTACCGAACGATCCGAGTACTCCAACCGTAACTCGATCATGAGTCTCGGGATTCCGCATGGCATCGGGTCTGGCCCTTCAAGTCTACAGAGTCCAGGCCTTGCGCAGCTCGCGATGATGGCGGACGGCGACGAAAGCATGAGTCTCACGGCACTTATGAAGCTGCGTTCCAGGGCATGGGGCGGCTCACAGGCCAGTCTAGTCTCGAGCCGCGAGGGGTCGCCCCGGTCAGAGAGGGCGGACGGCGCGAGCTCGCCATGGGGTCCAGCTCCGAGCGCCAACATCCTGGGCATCCAAAACGGCCACGCGCGCAAGAACTCGGCGTTTTCAGTTAAGAGCCGCGACATGGATTCGGACGCGGGAAGCGCTTCCGGCTCGCCCACGCTAACCATGTCGGTGCCTACCATCGGATCCCCGGCTCCTCTTCTGCCGCCTTTGAACCAGACCAGCCCGGCCGGCGTGGTGAGCTCGCCGCACTTCACCCACAGCTCTTCGTTCGAGCCGGTAATGGAGTCCGACGAGGGGGGCGAGCTGTCGATTTCCAACAGCATTTCCCACTCGGGGTTATGGATGAAGAGCCCCGACAGCGCGGTTCACCCCAACCTCGTGCCACGGACCGACCCGACGCCGCAGCGGAGACCCGGCATGGGGCACAAGCACAAGGGATCCGCGGACAGCATTTCTTACATCAAGGAAGAAGACGAAGGCGAGACGAGATGGGTGTTGGAGAGACGGTTCACCGCCGACAGCGGCGAAGTAGAGGTGCAGCGAGAGGTCGTTGGCAAGGGCCACATTTAGGAATGGCTTGGTCAGTAAAGCTTGGATACCATCAGCATCGATATGTCAAGCTTGCGAAAAGAAGTGCCGGCGAGAGAAGCCGCCATCGACGAGGGAATGATACCAGACAGAAGCGTCGGCGTAATTATTTTTGGGTGACACCTTTGAACACAGAGGCGAGGAGCAGGGAGTTGAATTACGACGATATAGAGTACAGGGCTCCGGCTACGCAAACCACGATGCGACGTAATGAGATGGGGGAATGAACGCCGTGCTTAGGCAAGGTGGCAAGAGCTGGAATAATTGAATAAAACGTTAAGTACCTAGCCTCCAACACATCATCACCAAGTTTCCGATTAAACATCCGTGGGTGTTCATCCGATGTCCAAGACCGTCCCGTCTCCTCTAGTTCAAGCCTTACTATGACTTTGTCCCGGGGCGAACTCTTGGCTCTGTACTAGCGGCCGTATCACGAAAGGGAGAACCATCACGATCGCCAACCCAGACCTCAATTGACGGATATTCTCTTCCCTCTTCCTCCCAGCTGAAGGACGGCGTCGGACATGACTCTCTCACATGACCCCGCGGCATCCCAACCACACCCCCAGCAGTCTGAACACGCACGAAGCGCTCCAATCATCTCATACGGACCACCGAACTACCGATTCACCGGCGCACCTCAGCTCGAGTAGGCAAGAGCATGGCACTAATCCCCCGGAGAAATTTTAAGCTTTTTTTGCGGCTTGGCGAATCCCGGTATCTGAACCCCCACAGGCTGTGCTGTATCGCGCGGTTCGTGATTTTGGTGTGTGGTGTGGTGTTGTATCTGAGGAGAGGGGAGAGGCCGGCCCCGCTCCGGGACCAGACTCCGTTGGTTAAATCCCACCAATCCGCCGTCCCCTCCGATAGTGCCGGGACCTGGGACTTTTCCTCTTTTGTTCCGGTATCCCGCGCCACGGCGAATGGAAGCTGCGACATGCCGTCGAAGATGGGATTTTTTTCGGATTCGGATTTTTCGATGGGTCAGTGGTTGGTTGGTAAGAGCTCGAATCGTGGTCCAGGCCGAAAATTACATGCCGCATTTTCATACCACCACCCATCATGTCAACGACATTTTAAAAACCCCTTCAAATCCACCTCCACGATCATGCTCCCTCCCCCTCCTCACCACCCTACCCCTTCCCCAGCTCCGCGTCCGCCGCCACGATGAAGCTGACGACCCTCCTCTCGGGCCTGACGGCCGCGCTCCTGCTCCCCTTCTCCTCGGCCTTCACGAACCCGATCCGCCGCCCCGGCGGCTCCGACCCGTTCGTCACGTACTCGGGCGACGGGTACTACTACCTCCTCTCGACGACGTGGTCGACGGTGGAGATCGCGCGGTCGACGACGGTCGAGGGCCTCAAGACGGCGGCCAAGAAGGTCGTCTACTCGTCCGGCGACGCCTCGCGGTGCTGTAACGTCTGGGCGCCCGAGGTGCACTGGTTGAACAACCGGTGGTACATCTATTTCACCGCGGGCGGGAGCGCGAATTTGGATAACCAGCGGATGCACGTTTTGAGGGGTACGTTGTTCGTCACAGCTCACAGTCCTTCTCTCTGCAGACAACCTTCTTCTTTCCACCTCCACGATCACGCAGCTAACCGACGGAACACAGGCGGCACCACCCCCTGGGACTCGTACACCTACGTCGGCCGCATCGGCGCCGACGAGTGGTCCATCGACGCCTCGGTCCTGCGCACCCCGCAGCACGGCAACTACCTCATGTACTCGTGCTTCCACGGCGCGGCCTACCAGTCCATCTGCATCCAGAAGCTCAACGACGACGCCGTCTCCACCTCGGGCTCCGTCGCCCTCATCTCGCAGCCCACGCAGTCCTGGGAGCGCGTCTCGCACCCGGTCAACGAGGGCCCCGCGGCGCTCTACTTCGGCGGCAAGACGTACGTCGCCTACTCGGCGTCCTACTGCTGGTCCGCGAGCTACTGCCTCGGGCTGCTGACCTGGGACGGGAGCACGGCGCCGACGAACCCGGCGGCGTGGAGCAAGGGGAACGGGTGCGTGCTGAGCAGCGGGAACGGGCACTACGGGACGGGGCATAACAGCTTCTTCCAGAGCCCGAAGGGGGACCAGACGTGGATCGCGTACCACGCGACGAGCAACAGCGCCGGCGCGTGCGACGATAGCCGGTACACGATGGTGCAGATGCTGGGGACGCATAGCAACGGGGCGCCGAACTTTGGGACGCCTGTCGCGTTTAGTTATCAGTACGGGGAGCCTAGCAAGTGAGTGAGTCGGTGAGTGGGTTGAGAGAAGGATGTGAGGATCTGGGTATTTGACGGGCTCTCTTTGTTGCGGCCGGATATCTGTCATGCTCTGAAGGAAGGGGGGGGGGGACTGTGGTCACGGAATATCATGATGGCGAGGCCCTTCCGCCCGCAGAGGCTCACTCGGTCCCGTCTTTTGTCGTCGCGTGAAACCAACGTGACTTTGGTCGCGGGATGTCGATCACTTCGTGTCAGGCCGAGCGTGAGGGGGAGAGAGAGAGAGGTTTCGGCGTAGAACGTTCTTGAATTTCGAGGCCCTCGCGGAGGTGGTCGCCGAGGTCTCGAGGCTACGCCGGGTTTTCGGGTATGGTCTATCTACGCATCTGCTCCCCAAGCCATCTACATCTAGACCCTCACTCGCGCCAAATGGTTTGTCCCAAGCCGTCTCGCATTTCCAAACATGCTTACCTCTGAACCCCTTTCCATTCCAACTCCTCTGTCTAATCCAACTGCCATTTCCAAACTCTCCAACTAACTTGACCTGAGCTCTGAGTCTAACTAAACGACAGCCGTCGGCGCGGCACACAACACCACCACGTCTGGTGAATGGGCAGAGCGAATGCCCTCCGTGGTGCCGGGGACGACAAGAACGTGGCGATACCGTCTAGGGATCGTAGATGTCGTCCTCGTCGTCCGCGTGCGACGGCACATCGAGCTCGAAGCTCTGCGAGTCGTCTGCGTACTCGATCCGCGACGGCTCTTCGGCCTCGTTCTGCGACTCGTCTTCGGTCTCGGTGGTGATCCGCGGCGGCTTCCCGCCCTCGAAGCTCGGCGACCGGTCTTCGGAGAAGCTCTGCGACTGGTCTTCGAACACGCCCGGCGGCGGCGGCGGCTCATCGATCTCCAAGTTCTGGGACGTATCCGTACTCGCCACGTGCATCGGCGACGCGTCCTCCAAGCTGTGGATCGAGGTGTCGCCAGGAGGCCGAGTCCTGCCCCTCTCGGGGGGGTTACTCGCCTTCACCAGGTCCCGAACCGGGGGACGGCGCGACGAATGGAGCAAGGTGATGGGGGTGCTCGGGATGGTGTCGAGGTTGCTCGGCTTCGCTTTGATGCGCTGGCCGCTCGGAGACGGCGCCGCAGGAGGCAAGTTGAGCGATGCCCGCTGTGCCGCGGCACCGGAATTCGAACGCTCTCGGGGGTTGGAAGAGCTGACGGCGTGGCCGAGACGTCGGGTAGGAGTCGCCGGAGTGCTGGCCGTATGCGAAAAGCTCGAGCTGGGCTTGTGGCCGCTGGACTTCGCACCCGCGTGATGGCGGCTTCGGGTAGCGGGACGGGGTGGCTGCGGGGTTTGCTGTCGCGACTCTCCAAGGCTGAGAGATTCCATGGCAGTCGCAAGACTGGCTCCCTGGCGGACGATTCTGTTGAGCTCCTCATTGTTGACTGAAAGGCGACGTGCCATTTTCTGAAGTTCTTGCAGGCGTACTTGCCCTTTCTGCCCCGCTTGCTTCTCCGTCTCTTTCGTTTCCGGGTAGGTGCTCGGGTCGTCCAAACTAATCGCATTCTGCACCAACTTTCTCACCCACTTCTTCAACGACTTTTGGGCCATGACCGAAGACATACACAGCGCGTGCAGCGTTTCCATATCTTTCATCATGTACAAGAAGGCGGCGGTGCGAGGCGCAATGGATACCCTCTTGCACCCATCGTCCTCGATCTGGTCAAGAGTCGCAAACGTCGAGTACATTGCGTACGCGTGTGGCCATGTGGCCCAGGGGCCCAGCTTAGCAAGTACGTCCCGGGCCTCTTCGAGCGGGCCAAAGGTGCTCGGCTTGGTGAGCCATTCCTCGAACTCTTCCTCGTCGGGTATCCAACCATGCCAATCGTCCAATGCTTCCCAACAAAATCGCTCGAACGGATGAGGAGGGTAGGGAAGTTGCTGGATCCAGTGAACTTCCGAGTCATCGTAGGCTTCTGCTGTGAAGCGCCAGACCTGGGTTTCGTCATGGCCCAGATGAACGACGCGCACGTCTGACAGGTCCTTGTTGCCATCGCGGTACGTGACGAAGGCGGCCTCGGGACCGAAGCCCAGGTGCTCGACGCTGTTGTGCATGCTGACGACAAGGCCGTGGAGCACAAGCTTCATGACTTTGTCGCGAGTCTTCTGGTCGAAAGTGATCCAGCGGAGAGAGCCGTCGGCTCTCTCGAAGTCGGCCGGCGAGTCGTGAGGAATGAGCCAGCCCTCGTTGCCCGGCCCCGAGCGAAAGCAGAGATCGTCAACGGTGTATCCGTAGAGCTTCTCGGTGATTGAGACGTAGACGTATCGGAACAACTTCTTTCTTCGGCGATCGGTGCCGGCGGGGAGCTTGAGGATCCAGCCGCCGTAGAAACGCGGCCCAAGATAGCCGACTCCAGTGATGCCCCTCTCGTGAAAGTGCCTCATGGCCCAGTAGTCACGGCTGAAGTCACCCTCGGCCAGTTCTTCGTTGCCGCAAGGCGCCATGAAGTCACTCGCGTAGTACTCGGGATCGCAAATACGGAGGACGAGTTCGCGTTCGAGGTTGATCCGCTTGTTGTTTCTCATCTCACTGAGAGGTTCTTGCTGTTCCGCCGAAGCTTCCACACGCGGGAAGCGCGTCACCTTGCAGCTGACAATCTGGAAACGTCGGCCGCGGCCGACTTCGATCGCCCCGTTGAGTGTGACCTCGGCGTGCTTGTCGATCTCGCGGGCGGCCTTGGAGTAATCTCGGACATAACCGCGTGGAAGGCTTGGCGGCAAAGGATTGCGATTGTACTGTCCACTGCCGTGGTGATGAACGGGCGTGTACGAGAACAGGGTGAACTTCTTGTTCATCTCTCCATACAGCTCGATTGGGGTGGTGGTGAGGCTGGGCATTGTGGTTGTCGTGGTTGCTGTCTTACTGGCGACGGCGGTAATGGTCGATAATAGGCGATTACACGGCAGTGAGTCCAGCCGTGATGAAGGGCAAAAATGGCGAATGACGGCGACTGCAGCGGTAAACGCGGGCGATGATTGACAATGGCAATTGCGGTGGTGAGGTGAGGGCAAATGACGGTAGACGATGCTGGTGCTGGACGTGGTGAAGCTGGGAGTGAAGGTGAAGTTGAGGGTGAGGGTGAGGGTGGGTGGTTGACAGGTTCCAGAAGGGATGAATTGGAAGCTGAACCAAACGGAACGGAATGGATGTTGGGTGTAAGTAATTGAAGTGGAAGTGGCAAGAATCGGAGAAAGGTGAGGCAAGGCAAGGCAAGGTAAGGTAAGGCAAGGTAAGGTACCTTGGTGGAAGTAGATGGGATGGATGGATGGATGGATGCCTGTGCAACAATGGATGTGAAGTAAGTAGTAACCTTTGATTTGCCAAACTCTACCAGACAGGTCAGATCCTTGGCTGGCGACCTGTCAATTAGAATTTCATCCAATCTAAGCCATGTTTTACGCCCGCTCGTTGTTTGTACCTCATGTCCGGGTATCGACAGAACTGGTTCCGGTAGGTCTCCTCGCTTGCGCATACAGCAGGGCTTGGAGTCCTCGGTCGCCATGTCGTGTGCAGTTTCGTCATACATGATGCAAAGCGGCATTGAGCCCTGCGAAAACCCGTCTCGGCTTCAGTTGGCTCGTCGTCAGGGCCCGTCGTGAAATGATGTGTGTGTGGGGTGTGTTTGGCTGACTGGGAGAACGATACCTTGAGACGAGAGGACTTGGAATAAGGGAACGTAGATCAAATGACCACGAGTACGGAATATGCAGTCGAGTCGACGATGGGCACGGCGCTTTATATACCGCAGAGGGATGAAGGGGACGTGGAAAACAAACAGCAGGAAGTCAGTCTTCTTCCTATGCCGCCAAAGTAAAGCCAATTCGCAGGCCGGCCATGCATCGTCATCTCGACATCGCGTCCCCTACGTAACACACCTGTTTAAGACACGCATGTAACCAGACGAAATGAACTCAAAAGATTCGTCGGTATTACGAGATCTTATGTTTGACTTGCAAGTGATGAGGAATTTCTTCATCAACATGAATTTGGCTTGTTCTCTGTCTGCAGGGTACGCAGAGAACGTGGCGATGAGTTGGCAAAACAGACAAGGAATTTGGACGATAAGGATATCACTCTAGTCGACAATCGACTCTATTCTCAGTTTTACATCTCAGTCTCATCGGCATTTCGGGTACTTTAACCAGTTGAAATCACTGGTATCACAAACTGACATGCCTCATGAACCAGCGGATATCAGCAAGTGCTTCAGCCCCCAATCCCAAAATCACCACATTCCATCCCTATACACATAAACTTACAACTTCCCAGTAAATCAAGCCCGACAAGGATCAAATCAAAACACCAAAAATTGTCATGGTCATCAACTTACACACTTACTGTGACCGCCAAAACCCTCGGCCCCGCCACCTCCAAAAACACCCGGTCCGTGCACCCCTCGGCCCGCCCTCCGCCACCGGCCTAAAAAAGAAGTGGATCCACGACGGAAGCCGCGGTCCCAAAGGGACTCAAATGACATTTTCCATCCCGACCATTTTCGCCTCCATCATCACTTCACTTCCACCAGTCACCGACACCACCAACCGCTCCTCAACCCAAACCGACAACAACCTACAACCCCCCACGAACAAACTCAAACAAAAACAAACAAAAACAACCCAACCCGTCAAAATGTCCCGCCTCCTCCGCCTCCGCCCCCTCACAACCCTCCTCACCCCTCTCAAACCAACTCCATCCCGCCTCTCCTCCTCCTTCTCCCGCGGCCCGGCGCCCCCCCGCCTCCCCGCCGACCAACAAGCCGAGTTCGAGCGCCTCCAGCGCGCGGCCTCCGTGTCGAGCGCCTTCCAAGACTACGCCAACCCGTCCGCTTCAGAGGCCACAACCGCCGCAGACAACACAACCACCACCGAGACGGTCGCCGCCGAAGCAACTCCCGAAACAAACAAACCAGCCAACCCCACAATCTCCTCGAGCGACGAGGACACGATGCACCCGGCCTACGTCCGCGGCGCGCCGGCCGAGTTCGAGGGCGACGTGAATCCGCGCACCGGCGAGGTCGGCGGGCCCAAGAGGGAGCCCTTGAGGTGGGGTTCCGGTGGCGACTGGAGCTACAACGGCCGCGTGACGGACTTTTGAGAGGTGATGGAGAGCTCGTCGTGATGGGGATGGACTGTGAGATGGTGTAGACTTCGGAATTGCTAGAAGGGCGTGTATGATAGAGTTGAAGAGTACGAGGAAAGAACAGTCACGAGATACCAAATGCTGCATTACACTTCTCAAACCACACTTTGCTCGAAGGAATTGGGTATTATAACCATGCTACTCCTACACCTCCGCACCTTGCTTAATCATTCACCGGCTTTTGTTCGGCGCCTTTCTATATCCAAGACCAGCTCCGATACGTCATGACGTCGGAGCATCGACTTTCTTCGTGTTCTCATCCACATCCATCTTGTCGGCCTTATCCGACGCCGCACCAATGGTGACACCGTTAGTTGCCCGATCAGGGAGCCGTTCGTCTGCTGGCCTGTTCTCCTTGTCACCCTCGCTGGGGACTTTCTCTTCCTTGCCCACACCATTCTCGCGCGCCTCGTCGCGCTTCCACCACGTACCAGAAACTATCTCGCCCCTAATCTTGTCGAGCCGCTGCTTCTCTCGCTCCACCTCGGCTCCGTTGAGACCACGACTGGCGGCATTCATCTCGCCCATGGCCCGACGCATGCGCTCTCGACGGCCCTTACCGCGAAGCCGGGCTTGAGTACCGGCGCCGTTCGTCACCCAACGGATGCCCATAATCTGGAAGCTGAGCCCGTCGTGAATCGACATGCGCCCGTTGACCCGCCCTCCCCAAGCGCGCGACTGAATGCCAAACCTTGTCGTGCTGGAGTACTTCTCCAGTCGTGGCAGTATCAACACAGATACGTGCATATCCCGGTCGGCTTGTATGCTGACAGGCCCAGTCTTCGGTGGCTTGTCAAGGAACGTGGCCATGTTCGCTTCCTGCCTGGCATTTTCCTCCTTTTCCTTCTCTTTCCGTCTTTTATTCGCGGGGACATCCTTCTCGGGAGCGTCGAGGCCTCGGTCAAGATCCAACATATCCGTGTCAACCTCCTTGGGCCATGCGCCTCGGATCCAGCCGCCGTGTATGCAGGCGGCAATGATATCGGAATCGTCGGTGTAGATGTCGGTACCCCACAACGCACGTCGCGTTGTGATCTCCTGTCTCGATACATGGGTGAGATGGATCTTCGGCACCTTCACAGTGAGTGTGCAGTTCTCCTTGTCCTTGATCATGTGCCAGGGAAGCGGCGTCGGCGTCGTCGAGAAACCGCGGTCCGAGACAACATTCGGTATTTGCCTCGCAGGCTTGATTTCCGGTTCGTACAGAACGTCGCCCAAGTGAGTCCGCGGCCGATCAGCAACCCACTCGAGTACCGCCTGAGATTTCACAATCGTTTTCGTCTTCGGGGGAATGACGGCAGTTGGACTCTGCACCGCTGCCTTCGCCGGCGCTTCCTTCGTTTGATGGGCGAGCTGGTTCGCTGGTCGAGGTGCGTTGTGATAGTGAACAGCCGGCAGGTCACTGGCAAGCCCCGTCGGAGACGGAACGGGCGTCGTGGTTCCCTTGACGTTTTTGAAAGGTGTCGCGCCGCTGGGCGCAGGAGCGTTAGCATTATTAGTGGGATGTCGGTGGTGGTGACGATGAGCGTGACCGTGACTGTGACCATGGTGGCTATCGCTGTTAGTTATCATAGATATGCCCCCAGAAGATGGGATGATGCTTACTGGTGGTGATGATGAGTCTTGGGACGCTTGGCCCCACTGACTGGCGTGAGCCGACCCGTGCTGTCATCGTCACCTTTGTTGTCTTCTTCCTTGAGTTTTCTCCTCCTGCCCTTGGCTCCCTCACGCGGTGCCTTCGGTGCAGCGTCAGGCCCGGATTCATGCGCGGCACTGTCGGTCTCGTCGCGTCGTGCAAGACTCGCGTTGGTGTATGGCAGCTGGGCCCCTGCAGTGACTGGACTAGAGACCCCGCCAATGCCGCTAACACCGCTGCCGATTCCAGAGAACATACGTCCGAATTCGCTCTTGATACCGGGCTCTCCAGCCGGGCCTGGTAACTGTGTCTGGGCGCCTTGAACTGCCTGCGGCAGAGGGGATACGCGACCCTTGCGATTGGCCTCTTGAACCGCCAGTAAGTGCCTTTGCGCATTGTTGGGATGTTCATCGGCAGGTCGGTTGCGCGGGGAGTCGTAGATTGGAGTGCCATGAGCTGCGCTATACGCAACCGACGGTGGTGGTGGCCCTTCCTCCGCCGGGCGGCGATGTGCCGGAGGCGGCTGTGACTGAGGAGGAAGGTGGGCGGCCCGTTGCCGCTCTGGAGATTCAAAGGGCTGGTGCTGAGGCTGGGGTGGCTGTCCAGGAAGGGGCTGTTGAGCATGATTCGGGGGAGCAAACCGATCTGCGTGCGGTGGTTGTTGATATTGAGGAGCTGTCGCTGGATGGGTCTGATTCGGGAAGTTGGGAGCGGAGGCAGGAGGATACTCTTGATGTCGTGCGTGCAGGCCGGCAGGATCGTAAGGCACCCTAGACTGCTCAAACGGCTGAGGCTGCCGAGGCGGCCAGGGACCTTGCTCTCGATGTTCGGGTGGGCGGCTAAATGGCGGAGGCGGCTGACCGCGTGGCACTTCTTGAGGCCTGAACTCGCCATGAGGAGGACCTTGTTGAGGCCCTCCCGGGTGAGGTTGAGGACCGCGCCCTCCTTCGCCCCCGGAATACGCACGCTCTCTCCTCTCTCGTTCCCTGAACTCAAGCTCCTCGCGACGCTCTCGCTCAACGCGGTATCGTTCGTCGAAACCCATCGCTTTCAGGCCGGTTCGTTCGGGATTGTATTCCATCGCGCCTCTGGGCATCTCCTCGCGACGCTGATACATCTCCTCCGGGCCGTTGTTGCGGCCCATATCAACAGGTCTCGGAGGCATTGTAGCGAAAGACTTCGGTTGGCTCGTGGGTCTCGGAGGAGGACCAGGGGGCATGCGGTTCGGGTCTCTTCCATCCTGTGCGGAGGGCCCGCGTTGATGATAAACCCCCTGTGGTGTACCATATCGCTGAACCTCTGGTGTCGTCGAGTAAGCGCCCTGCGGCGATGCGGCGGCGCTGCCTCTTGGATCGTAAGGACGGCCGAGGTCGGGCGTTTGAGGTCTCCTGTATCCCGAGGGCGGGTACTCGGAAGAAGCCGAGTGCATCCTCGGCGACGCTTGTATAGACGGTGCAAAAGTCGGCCCTGAGCTCGCGCCGGTTGCGGGAGGAGGACCGTAATGCGATGGAGGAGGTTGAGAGTCCCTCTGAGGAGGCGGTGCTCCAAGCATCGACGATATCGACATAGAGCTGCCGGTGCTGCCCGTTCTCGGGATCGACCCCAGTGCCGGCAGCTCGCGACCGCCCGGGAATGAGGTCGGATGGCCCGCGTTGGGATGCGGGCCTCTCGGTGCAGGCAGCCCGTAGTGATGATGAGGCGGTTGCGGGTTCCCCGGCTGAGGAGGAGAAGCCGGGGGCGGCATGTTCCTGTTCATCGGGGGGCCGGGAGGCAGCGAGGACGAACTCGGGTGTCGAGAGTGACCGGATGGAGGAGGAGGAGGGCCAGAGGCCTGGTCCTGGGGATATGATCTCGGGCCCGGGCCGTAATAATGAGTTTCGGAGGATCTTCGCTGGTGGTCGGCATAGGGAGGGTTCGACGGGGGCTGATGTGACGACGCGGGCGGGAAAGGAGACTGATTCGGCGTTGAGGTGTTCGTTTGGTTCGGAGGGAAAGGAGAGCGACTGTACTGCGATGCAGGATTGCGCGAGAAGGGGTGCTGTGGCGGCTGTCTTGGATCCATCGCGCCGAGTTTTTAGCTCAAGAGCCCACAAGGTGGATTGCGCATAGGTAGAGCTGCGTGACGACGCAGTGGAGGCGATCGCAAGTCGAGCTGAAGCAGACCGGAGGAGGACGTTCGGCGATGCAGGCGTCGAAAGTCGCGATATCGATAGTGAGTGAGGTCGAGTCGACAAGGCGTCATGCCACAGGTGCGTGTGTGAGAAGAGAGAGAAGAAGGAGAGGGAGGGTGTGTCGCCTGGCCTAGAGAGGATGATCGCGACACACTGTTGTTACACGGACGGCAGAATTATTTTGGATTCCCCTGGTCGGATCCTGTTTGGGTGGAGCTGGGCTGGGCCGGCTGCTGGCATTGAACAGCTTGTGTGCTTGTGCTCACACCTCACACCTCAGTTTTCGTTTTTTTTCTTCTTCTTCCTTTTCTCTTGGCCCTGTCGTCTTCCTGGTCGCTCGGCCGGGGATGGACAGGGACCCTGTCTGGGTGTGGTGTCCTTGGTGACTTGGGTGGCTGCGTGACCATGGGGCCGCTGCTGGCAAATGGGCGCAAATCAGCCGGAACGCGACAGGGATGCCGGGGGAGGTTCGTTCGCGCTAGTGAGACAGTGGCCCCCGTTGATGGGAAACGATGATGTCGATGCGCCGCGGCCGCGCCCGGGGTGGGTTGTTGTTTTCCTTGCCGCGAGTCGGTCAGGAATCGGACGGTCTTGTGTTGTTTTGAGCTGAAGTCGGGATTGCGAGGGTCGAATTTTGGTTTGCGGTTTCCGACGGATGGAGATGTACTGAAGTAGTCACATGTAGGTACTCTGTTTTTCTTATCAGATGCCCGAACCAGAATCACAGGCCGCCTCGAGGATTATCGAGTTTGGTGGCTTGAAGTATCCTGGTTGCTTATTTCTACCGAGTCGTAGCCGCAGCTGCAGGACGAAGCTGCAAAGGTGGCGGCGACGACGACGACGACGAACGCAGAGCTTTTTTCTGAACGGCGCGGAGCAGCAAGGAGCAGATGAGGGGGAGAACAAGTGTCAAGCGTCAAGCGCAAGGGACAAAGACGTGTGCGAGACGATCGAGGACCCTAGTGAGGGCTCAAGCTTATGCAGGAAGAGACGGACCGCAGGGTCTTAGTGCGCGTCCGTCCGTTGGCAGATAATAGTGCTGCCGTCAAGCATCTGATTGTGTGGAGAGTGGGCAGCCTGGATAACGATCTGACTGGCTGTGTCTCTCTAAGAGTTGGATGTGTTCAGCAGAATTGATGATTGATGATGCGCGGGGGTGTTGCGGTGACGATAAGATGAAGCGTCGGAGCTGCAGAATGCACGACTCGACCAGACCGCAAAGGAGGGGACAGGACAAACAAATGCAGAATGTTTGATGGAGGGGGAACATGCAGAGCCCAGGCTCAGGCTGCAGGAGCAGGAAACTAGCGGTGATGGCGACGACGGGGAGTGCGGAGGGGAGGGGAGGGGAGGGCGGGATGGCAGATGGATCAACAGGTACCGCGGATGGCAGCTTCTGGCATGCAGAACTGAGGTACTCTGTGCTCTGTACTCGGTGATGGTGGTGGTGGTGGTGGTGTTACTCGAGAGTCCCGAGACGAAATCCAGGGCGAGTCGCGCGGTGCGGGAAGGGCTGGCTGGAGCTGTAGCTAGCTGATTCCTAGCCGCTGGCACCGTGGTTGTCTTGTTGCTGGTGTTGTTTGGTGGAGGGTGTGTGACTTTTTCGATTTGGTGAGGGTAGCCAAGGTTCATGTGGTCGTGCGGAGCAGCATCTGCTTGGTGACAGGGAAGGGAATGGAGGCACGAGTTGGGGTAATGATTAAGGTCGTGCGTGGGTGGCGTGTGTTGTCGTGTGCTTGTGCCTGCGCCTGTGCCGGTCCTCGTGTATCCTTGAATGGTGTCTGGAATATGTCAGTCGCAATGCCAATGTGACGGGATACGGGTTTTGGTAGATGGTTACTCTTTCCAAAATTATGCGGGATGACAGCAATGTCGCGGGTAGGCACGGCGATATTGATGACGATGGCTGGTGTTGATGATGTTGAGTGGAAATCAAGGAGTGGTGATGTTTTGAAGACGGAAGCCGTTAGAATGGGATTCGCAACATGCATTGACTTGCGATTTCTGCATTTCCATGTTTGCGCCATGTTTGTACGAATAGCGCCTATTCATTTCCTCGGCGTGCTTGAGATTGAAGACTTGTTGGTGGCCGCCATGAAATGGGACTTTTTTTCGTGGGCGGCGGCGCGCAGCTGCATGGAATGTTTTGTATCACTTTGCTGAAGAAGGTACGGATACACGGATATGCCCCTGTGCCTGCGTGTCAGCGCGAAATGATTGTCGGTAGGTTTGGGGTAAACACCTGTTTCTGACGACATCAAATTCATTGGTGTTTGTTATTTTGGACATTGATAAGAATGAATATCGGTTCTTTCCCATCACCAGCAGCAAGCAGCTGCCTTCCTGCCTCCATCTTGCGTAAGGTGATCCCAGTTGGAAGGAAAGGTCGGGTGGCGGTACGTACCCGAGGTGGGAGGCAGGCTTTTCTCTTTCGGGTCGCAGTATCCTTGCCTGCCCCAGACGACGCAGCCAATGACGATGCACCAAAAAGTCGAGTCGTCCAGTTTTTGTGCATTTTGTGCCTGGGGATCCACCCCATTTTCGCAGTGCACCAAGCATAAGCATAAGCACAGCACAAGCCCGAAGCTGACAGCACGGTGCAGATGGCGGCGGCGCCCTTCCCTTGCGCCTTTGGAAGCGTGGAAGCTCTGCCCGTCGTCAGTTGGTGCTGGGCCATTCGACTTTGCGTCAGGGGCTCAGGGGAACTCTCCGCCAACGCAGGGTTTAGGGCCCCAACCACCCGACCAGCTTGCCTTTCCCCGTTCATGGGTCACCGCTGGGCACCGGCTCTGGGCTGTCCGGGCTGAGAGGAAGCGGGGGTGAGCAAAGTGTCCTCTGCTTTCTTGGTTTGGCGGCCATGTTGACAGTTGCACAGCACATGCCATCTCGACTTTTTTTCAATCTGGTGTGACTGAAATGCGATTACGGGAGGAGCGAGGAAAAAGAGGAAATCCTCCCAAAATTAAGCTCGGGTCACTACCGGAAAGAACCCCGCGGCAACGGGCAACAGGACAGGTCGCGGTGCAGCCTTACTCGGGGTCATCCGTGCCTTCCCAATTACATTTTCACGTTGCATCCACGTCTTTGAGGTCCTATTTGCGGGGTCGTAGCCCAACTCGGGCCAGGCCCAGCAGGAGCTCCTGCTTTCTTTGCACATCAGGCGGCATTGCACCTTTTCCGCCACAGAAAAAAAAGGTTCGCGACCTGCTCCCGCCGGCTTCCATTGGGACACTGGAAGCAAGGAAGGTCCCCACTTAACCCCGTTCCTTCCTTCCCTCGAGATGGCGCTGGGCCTGGCGCACACTCACTTTCTAACCCAAACGGTACGTACCGAGGTGCCTGAGGTGAGGTGGTGTTGACCCGCATAAGCGTGAGGTGCGGCACCAACACAAGGACGAGGATTCCGCGACTGGCAGCTGCTGCTTCGTTCCTGCGGCTGTTGACGAACACCAGAGTGAAAAAATAAATACGGATAGAGAAAGAAAATGTCCCGTCTCCATAGCGTGTCACTGCCTGCTAATTCTTACCTCATATCCAGGCCGAAAGCTTCTCGACCAACTCCAGGTCCACTCCATCTCTTGCCGACCATCGGCCTCGGATCCAGTCGATTGCCCCGGCGGATTTCTCACAAAGGTCAATTCCATGAACAATTATCGAAGCACGCGGGTACATGTTGACGTGCCTCGGGACATCGTCGTCCGCCGAGCACCACCACTTGCTTGCGCTACAGTCTACACCTCGTTGCGGTATTCCCTTTATTCACAAGGTCCCCACGGCTGCAACCTCGACTGACAGACTGAAGGACAACACAACAACACGCATTGGGTGCCATCTGCAACAACTGCAGGGGACGGGACATCACCACCCCAGCATCCGTATCGCCATCCACCACAGGGCGGTGAAGACACGAAAGGCACTCCAGAGTCAAATGTCCCTTCACCGATATCACATCCCAACAACAACCCTTGAACGATCCCGAACCAAGAACCCGCTTCGGCTCCACGGTTTGCTGAAAACTTTTTGGCCAAAACCTCCAGCGACATCTGCACCGCGGCCCACGGCTGTGTTGTTCCGCCAAGATGTCGAATCGAGTCGGCAGCGACACAAGATCAGCCCGCCATTCTCCCTTCGTCAGATCACGTCGTCTACGTACGGATACACTACAGAATATCCGTACCCTTGCATCGCATCACCACCACCTTTACCATCACCTCACATGGTTGGTCGACTCGTCTTACATGATCGACCTCTCCGGATTGCGACTCGTCTCTTGTTTGGCTGGCGCATCGCGTCTGATGTGTGGTGTTGCACTGCATCCGGCTCGTCACTAACCACCGCGTCCCGTTCTCTACCAATCGCCATGCATCGCTTTCCTGTCCTGCGGCCTATTGACTGACAGCTCAACGCATGACGCCGCGATTGACAGGGGGGCCACTCGCTGGCTGCAACCACTTTGACTTGGTCGACTTTGGGACCACATTTCATCACCAAGCCGCCCTCCAGCCGAGACATACTTCACTCTGCCGCCATTGGCCGTTAACGAATGTCTTTCGATTTGCACCACACGGTCTACGCTATCTCACTGGTGGCGCTCCATATCACGCGGTCAGCATACAAACCTCCAATTAACGTTTTCCCAGTCCTTCCGTCGCGAGATCTTGATTTCGAAGTTGCCCTGTCCCTTTGCCGGATGTCTCGCCGCCGCGGCCAAGGCTGGAACACCCGCTGGAGGCACTTTGACGTCCTGCACATCGAAACCGAGTGCCATCGCCGCCACAAATCCCGTAATCTCGGTCTGCGCAAAGAAGCGGCCCGGGCACAGATGTTTGCCTCCGCCGAACGGAAGCATGAATCCGCGTCGCCGTCTCTCCTCCTCCGCCGTTGCGTAGAGGAAGCGTTCTGGCCTGAACGTTGTGACATCGTCACCCCAGACTTCCGGCATGAGATGGGTCACGCTCGTCGCCCACTGCAAATTGGTGTCTTTCTTGAGCAAGTACTGCCGCCCGTCCGCATCGTCGAGCGTCAAGTCTTCCATCACACGGCGGTTGGAGACCTGAGCGACGTACAGCCTGAGGACTTCACGGTAACACGCCGTCAAAAAAGGGCAAGCCGTCTCCATTTCGCTGGTGTATAGTGTCGCATCATGACCTCCATGCGCCGTTTTGTCCATGGTAGTGATGGCTGAGACTTCTTTTCTGATACGCTCGACATATTCGGGTTTGGAAAACACGTTCAACAAGAACCAGAAAGTCATCGGTATGGTGTTCGTCGTCGCCGCCCAAGGCAGCAAGTACTCCGTGAAACCGAGTTCGTCGGACGGTATCCCTCGCCCCCTGAGAGCGTTTGCCCGTCCCTTGACGATGCTCGCAACATCAGGGTTTTCGTCCAAGTGGTCGGCGTAGAACGGCCGCAAGAGCGCCCTCATGCGATGACGAGCAGCCACTGCTTTAGGGGCGAGAAGATTCGGTGCAAAGTTTGCCCCCAAAATCGCTAGGTTCTCGTCAAATATCCTGAACCCGGTGAGCCACGGCCCAAACTGTGAAGTCACGTTGGCAACTCACCACAGATCCTCGAATGTCTTGACATCCCACATGTTATTCCTCCCATACAAAGCTCTGCCGGCAGCCATGGCCATAACTTCTTGGACCCAGTCCCACGCCGGAACGGTCTTGGGTGTTTCTCCGAAGGCGTTCAGCACCTCGCTGCAGTAGCCCAGAGAGGCAGCGTTGATCGCTTGCAACGACTCCTTCATAAGAGTGCCAGCCATCGTCTTTCCAATCTGATGGAAAACCTCGGGATGGTTCAGCTTCTCGATGTGGCGTTGCGGCAAGTCGATAATCGCAGTCGAAGCCAAGGACTGGAAGGGATAGAACGAGATGTTGCCGTTGCGCATGGCTGCTGCTATCAAGGCAGGGGAGTTGACCAGGTACATCTTGCCATGCAACATCGGGAGCGTGCAGATTGGCGGCTTCTTTTCCTTGCTGGGATAATCGTCAGTAACAGCTCCAACGGCGCGTCAGATGACATACTAAAGCCTATGGTTGAAGTTGGCGCCCTCCCTCACCAGAGAGAAAACATGCCCAAAAAAGGGAATTTTTGGTCGCAAGATTGGAGGCTCGCGAGCATCGAAAACCGGGAAGAGAAGTCTCTTGAGAACAACGATCAGAGGGATCAGTATCAGTGCTGCTATCGTCAGAGCAGTGGTCGACAGACTTGCGCCGTCGAGGTGCTGTGGTCCTGCCATGCCGCCGGTACTCTGCAACACCAATAACGGAGACGTGAAGGTCAGCAATCGTGGGATAAACGACTCCTTTTAACACCGCCATTCCTCGTCCAACCCAGAAGGCTGACGTTCCCTCCCTTGGACAGCGAGTCGTCTGCGCCGCTCAACTGTCAGCATCCTACCGTGTAATGAACCGTCAGCGCTAATCAGCCACATCCAGGAACATTGTGTTCCGATTGACTTCATTCGTCAAGTCGGTCTCCTAAGTGCGAGGTATTAGGGGTCCAAGTCATTCGTGCTTGGGAACAAGGCATTGTCAGGCTGCAGTGGTACACGATCTTACTCAGATCCCATTTCTGCGTCTCATTCCGGCCCAGTATATCAAGCTCCTCGCTGGGATTACGCGAAAGTCGGAATTCGGGACGCAGGGCATCCTTTCCCAGTTCCTCGGGATGAGGATTTCCAGACGCGGCAATTATGCCGAGGTAGAATGCTGAGCGACAACCGACGTATTCGTACTGTCGAGACTCGCAGAGATTGGTTGAAGCCAACAACCTTGTGCAACTATCATCACCAACAACGTCCACGACGATCGATTTTGGCAGCTTAAAGCTCAATGGCACAGACTGGAGCCATTGCATGTGGCCTAGACCACTGCATGACTGCACATCATTCCCGCGCACCTACCTTGACCTCTGTCAAATATCGGTGCCAGAACGGCAAAACCTGCGGGGCAGTCAAGGCGAACAGAAACATTGTGCGGTCTAAAACGTCATCTGAACCCCGGTGATTCTGTCTGCACCCCTGACCAACCATAAGTAAACATCCAGTCATCGGCATTTCCAAGCATCGACTTGTTCGCCATTGCTGGAATACGCACTTACAGTGCACCAAGCACAGCAAAAGGCAGACCGGCTCAACAGTCTCAGGTCCCGATATACTGGTCAATTTTCGATTTCAGGCGAACAGTTGAACCATCCCCTCAATTTGAATAGCCCAGGCCGAAGAGATCGCAGCATTTACGATTTCAGAAGCCAGGCTACCAGCCGCACAGCCCCGGGATTCTGGTTTGGCTAGTTTGATCTGCAGCTGCGACAGCTGCGTTGCAGAGCCAACGTGGTGCCCGAGTGCTTAATTTCACGTCGTCAGTGCATATCGGCTTAGCTTACCGTCGCCGGAGCGAAACGTCGTTGGCTTCGTTTCAAAGTGTGGAGACATTGACAACATCCCGTTTGAAGCCATCGTTAGAAAGGCATGAAGTTCAGCCAGCGCCAGGTCTCATCATTGGCTCTTCGAGAAGCGTTCATCTCTTGGACGAGGCTGTCGCACACCTGCATCACGTCATCCATTATGGCCTGGGGTGAATCGTGTTTGCAGGACTTGCTTCGGTCGTCCTGAGTTCTGTCAAAGGGACAATTCTCCCTCCTCCAGGCACAGTCCATCATCGAAAAAGGCATGCTATGCAAGTTCAGGGGATCCAGTGGTACTACAGCCCAGCATTGTGACTGGAGAGCTTATAGGAACTGCCAAGGATTTCGAGTAGTCGCCTGACGTTGACTTTTACCACCACAAACTGGAAAGAAACCTCAGACTGGCAGTTGTCTTCCCGCCACCTGCGGTTAATTTGCCTCATCAAAAGACGACCGCATGGTTAAGCATGCACCTTGATATCGGTATACTTTGAGGGTCATAACGGTCGATAAGCCCTGCTGTACACATTCGATCGGTGTTCGGCCAGGTCCAGCCTCTCACACGCCGCTACTCGGGTTTCTGTCACCCCGTTGTCACAGCGGGGGACGTGCGACCAACGCGCTTGAGTTTGCCTCAGAAAGACCATGCATCCCTGGAGCCGTCAAGCATCTCCCAAGTTTCCATGTTTCGTCCACCAAACTGTATGGATCGGTTTAAAAGCAGGGAGTCAGCCCACATAGCACCACCGGTTGAGCCGCTCTACTGTTTCCGTCACCCATCGGGATACTATTAACGTCCTACGATTGCCGATCCAACCGATAGCGATACGAACAGTGGAAGAAGGACGATTTAGGGCCCGGTTAAATAATTCAGTCGATGCGCCGATAGGATGCCGAAGGGTTCCAGACAATATCACGGGAAGACGAAGAACGGGTGCAGGCAATGCAAGAAGCGCCGTGTCAAGGTGAGAATACCCGTTTGTCATTCGGTACTCCGGGGGACTTGGCCTGCAAAGACGCGGTGTAGTTCGGAGCTTGTTCAGGCATTTGGCGCAGAGGGACCAACCTCCATGCACACATCCCGGGTTGTTGGTTCCTTCATCGACCAGTCAAGATGACCGGTAGACGAACAAGACATCACATCATACTCAAGCCTCTCTTCCTGTGGTATTATCACCGTCAACAACGCGGATACTAATGAGTATCATGTTGCAGTGTGATTGCGTCGGGCCCGTCTGCGCCAACTGTCGTCGTCGCCAAGAACACTGCAGCTATCTAGGCCTCCTCGCCGATGCCCTCAACCGTGAAAATGGCGGCGACAAAACCAGCGATACCCTGACCATGGTTCGTCGTGCCGCGACTGTCGCTGCCCATGCTTCATCACGAGACGCCCTGAACGCCTCGCTACCCGCCGAGAAGCTTCGCGCCGACGAGGCCGAGCTGAAGCATCACTTCCTCACACAGGCTTGGTTCACGTTCTCCTTGCAGACCGACCCGAGAAAGTGCGACGTGTGGTCGCGTTGGGTGCCACAGCTGGCGTCACGAAATGTCTTCATCCACCAGAGCATGCTCTCCATCGCAGCTCTTCACCTCTGCTACCTCGAGCCGCCGGATATGAAGAGGTATTACTCGATGGCATGCCAGCACGCCATTCAGGCAAGCAACTATTTCAGATTGGCCGTCCCGGAGGTCACGGAAGAGAACTGGCTGGCGACGTTCGTCTTCGCGATGTGCAACGGAATCTTCGGGTACTACCGTCCCTTCGCGGACGAGAAGGTCATGGGAGAGGTCAACACATTCGAGCCTGCGAAGGCCCTCAACGTCATGAGGGTAGCGGCCAAGTTCTCAGATACAGTGACGCCACACGTCTTCAAGAGCCCGATACGAGACAAGCTCGCACAGGTGGACATCGGGGAATGGCGCAACAGCAGCGACATCCTCCTCAGACCCTCCCTCCAAAAGATCGCCCGGTTCCTCGAGTTCCTCTCCTCGGGCCCGGACGCGACGGGCCTACAAGCGGAGGACATACGCATATACCAAAACGCCCTCGCGGCGCTCAGGTCCTGGATCGGCTCCCTCCCCGGCCGCCCGCGGATATGGAAACACTTCATCCTCTGGCCCTCGCTCGTGTCGGAGCAGTACCTCGCCCTCCTCCGCTTCAAGGAGCCCGTCGCGCTCATGATCTTCGTGCTCTGGTGCGAGGTCATGTTCCTCGCGCCGCGGCGGTGGTACCTCATCGCCTGGTACGACCGCGGCCACGGCGGCGCGCTCAAGGAGCTGGGTCGGCTCCCCGACGGCCCCGCGCAGCGGTTCTGGGAGGGCATGGCGGCGGACGCGTCCAACGACGGGTTGTCGGACGCCACGGGCTCGGAGACGGAGGGGAGCAGCGTCGGGGGACCCGCGACGCCTTCGGACGTGAAGAGCGAGGACGGCGGGAGGCGCGGCGGGGTGCTGTTGTTGAGTACCGGGGAGGAGTATAGGCACGGCAAGGGACGGTGTGCTACGAGCTGTTGCGAGTTTCCGATGATTGCGACGGCGCGGTGAGGGTCGTTGTCGTTGTCGTTGTCGTTGGGGAAGTCTTGAGGGGTTGGTATCTACGGCAGAATTTTGCAAGAGCAAGCGCCGACGTCCTCGTTAATAGATGGGACGGGCGAATAGCGGCGACACACACTTTCCTGGCCATGGCTGAACAGAACAGAATACGGAAGCAAGAGAAGTAGATGGAGATAGGAGGCGGGCTTTACGAAACATCTGATATGATCCAGGCGCGGCTGAGCGAATTGGGTAATGATGTATTTGTAACATACCTAGGGGTTATATATGCGAGTTTAATATCTACCGTGGTAAGCATGGTATTATCTGTGTGAGGGCGACGAGAAGCTATGTTGCTGGGCCGTGCCTCTGAGGCTGGAGACTGAGGTGGCTTTCAATCATGATTACCCGCGTCGACATCAACCAAATCTGTACGTCCAACGGATCATGTGATGTACATCGATCGACGTCGCTAACCACTCACACGAACAGTATTCGTCAGTCTTTCCTCATTGATGAGGTGTTGTTTTTTACGTGATTCGTCAAACGTAAACCTGGAACGGTCGTGTCACCCACGAGAATATGCGCGAATTTCCTCTAGGGCGTACCCAATAAATGCAGACAGACACCCACTTCCTCGTCAGTAATGGAATCCGAAATGCCGTTCCCTGCCGCGCGGTCCGCCCGGAGGGTTCCGGCGTCGGCGGCGAATTGAATCTTTGGCCGACGAGAAGAATCCCGCCCGAAACGGCACCTCCGCCACGATGTATCTGTCATCGGAATATGTTCACCGAGTCGTTTCAATTTCCGAGTGTCATCGCCGGCGGGTTTGTTTGAAGTTTTCTGGAGAGGAGGGAGGAGCCCGCGGCGGGGGGTCGGCGGTGGGGTGGGGGGGGGGTTTCCCCCCCCCCCCCCCCCCCCCCCCTCGCCGGAGCGATCCCGGCGGCGCGGGTGACATCGGCTTTCGGTAGGACCTTGCCGCTGCGCTGCGCGGTGACACTATCCCATGCGCCATTCATGCAGTATCCAATGTCTACTGCCGCCGAGATACGTGGATAATGGCGGCATGGTTGCCCCCCACACTTGGCTTGCGAAAGACTGGATTCCGTGTCGTCAGGTTTGGGCTTGGGGTTGCATGGCGAAGATGGCCGATCGCGGTCTAATTGGCGACGGTTTGGTGTGAGGATGATCATGGTGAGTGTTTTTTCTGTCGTTTACCCCGCAGGAGATAGGGGAAGGTTTTTCTTGGGTCTTATCGAATGGGTATATAAAGAGGATATCCGTCCGTCTACTCTCGTGGTGAATGTGATATCCAACGCTCATACAACCAACTCAAGTAAATCGCACAATTAGTATGCCCAGTCTCGTGGTAAGGACGTACATTGGCTGACACACCTACAGGCAAGGCTTACAGCCAGAAACACATCCGAGTATGTGAACACTCTTTGGATACGCAGCATGAGCCGGTGCCCAACCTTCCACGGACGTCGCTGCCATCTCATGGTGTGTCCAGCGGCCGATGTAGGGGTTGGGCTGAGATTATACGGCCTTGAACTTGATCTGGGTAATACCAGCGAAAGGATCATGCAACCCTAACACAAGCAGATCATACACCTTTCGTCTTCCAACCGAAAGAAGAAGAAACAATGGCCCCTCCGACCGCCATCTCCCCCGTCCGTGACTTCGCCGTCACCTACTCCACCGGCAAAGCGGCCGCCAAGCCCGCCGTCGCCGTCCCGGAGTCGTCCTCCGCGGAGACCAAGGTCCAAGACATGTTCGGCAAGTGGGACGCCTTCTCCTTCGCGCCGATCCGCGAGTCGCAGGTCTCGCGCGCCATGACGCGGCGCTACTTCGCCGACCTCGACGCGCACGCCGAGTCGGACGTGGTCATCGTCGGCGCCGGCTCCTGCGGCCTCTCCACGGCCTACGTCCTCGCGCGGCAGCGCCCGGACCTCAAGATCGCCATCGTCGAGGCCGGCGTCGCCCCCGGCGGCGGCGCCTGGCTCGGCGGCCAGCTCTTCAGCGCCATGGTCATGCGCAAGCCCGCCGACGTCTTCCTGCGCGAGGTCGGCGTGCCCTACGAGGACGAGGGGGACTTCGTGGTCGTCAAGCACGCCGCGCTCTTCACGTCCACGGTGCTGAGCAAGGTGCTGCAGTTCCCCAACGTGAAGCTCTTCAACGCGACGGCCGTGGAGGACCTGATCACGCGCAAGACCGAGGACGGGAGGGTGCGGGTCGCGGGCGTGGTGACGAACTGGACGCTCGTGAGCATGCACCACGACGACCAGTCGTGCATGGACCCCAACACGATCAACGCGCCGCTCGTGATCTCGACGACGGGCCACGACGGGCCTTTCGGCGCCTTCTCGGTCAAGAGGCTCGTGAGCATGAAGCAGATTGAGCAGCTCGGCGGGATGCGGGGGTTGGATATGCAGACTGCCGAGGACGCGATTGTCAAGGGCACGAGGGAGATCGTGCCTGGGTTGATCGTCGGCGGGATGGAGCTTTCGGAGGTTGACGGGGCGAACAGGATGGGTGAGTTTGCTCTTCTAGTTGGTGGAAGACGTTGAAATTGCTGACTGTGATGACAGGTCCTACCTTTGGTGCCATGGCTCTTTCGGGAGTCAAGGCTGCTGAGGAGGCTTTGGCTGTGATTGATGCCCGCAAGAAGGAGAACGAGCTCTGAAAGGAGTTCGTTTCGTTTCGCTGTGAGATGAGGTTGATGTCCACACTCGCTTAACCTGAGTTCGTGATGTTCTTATGGAGGCACGGTAAGTGGGATACACAGACTGGACTACGGCTTCTGGATTGGAATGTGTTAGGATGCTAGACCAACTCCAATACACTCTTTTGATAAATCTTATGAGACCATTTTGTGAAGTAATGGACGAACCATGCAATGCAGGAAAATGCGCTGCGCTGCTGTGACTGTTGGTTGTTCTGAAGCTACATCGGGCGTGTATACTCTGCGAGGGAGGCGGATAAGTTGTGAGATGAGTGTGAGAAGCTTCATCCCTTTTCACACCGATTCTGCGAAGCCAGTCCCATTGATTATGATCTCGGCAAAAGTTTGATGGAGACACAATTTTCTTGAATGACTGATCAAATACGCATCGTGGTACAGAGGTTAGTCAACCAGAAACCGATCCTCATTCAGACCGTCTGAGTCGCTGAGGTCGAGTCAAGATGAGAACACTGAAGGCCCCCTGTAAGCCTTTCCTTACACGTGGCTCACCAAACTAATCTCACTCGCCACGAGGTCGATAATTCCATAGAATGGGATGAACCAATTGCCGAATTTGAACAGAATCAATGATTTGTCAAGAAATTACAACGAAATAACGTCACAGCCATCTCTCCTTTGGCAGCGTCCTCGCCGCACCGAGCGGGGCCGCCGCCTCACGGTGACGGCTCCGATTGGCCTTCCCCGCCGGAGTGAGCTCCTCCCCCGCGGGATCCAGACCCCGGGCCCTTTTGGATATGGAATTCTCGTGGAATCGGGGCTTTCACCTCCAGATCGGCATTCTCGAGGATTGCTCTCGCCCTCGTGTCGGTAATGGTGAGGAGAGCCTCACGTCATGAGGCTTCTGGACGTGTTCTTTTCGGGAAAGGGATTGACACCCCAGGGGGAAACTAGCTCGTTATCAGTCAGTTCTCGGAGCTAAGATGCGAGCTATCTCCCGGCCGCCTTAGCGCGACCTTCTCGGCATGGACCGAGACGCCCTTACAGTGGATCCCGTCTCTCGAGAGGGTAAGGAACTCATAGACGTCATCCATCTGGCGGTCGTTCTCGAGGGGCGATGGGCAGCAATTGAATGGCCGAGGTCTGGGAGGAAGGCGGACTGTTGGCCGACAAGCCTGCGGTATGAGCTCGACTCGTAGGCGATTAACGATGAGAGAATTCGCGCGTCATCGCGAGGATTTGGGACATATCTAAGGCTGGGAAAGCGTGTAATTTTGTCGTGAGAACAATTCAGCAATAACTTTGCAACAAAAACACCATTTCAAACATCACCAACACTAATCCAATCAAAATGAGCTACCCCGAGAAATTCCAGGGTTTCTGCACCCACGGCCCGAAGACGTGGAACAAGTTCACCAAGGAAACCCTGACGCCGAAACCGTTTGGAGATCGCGACATTGACGTGCAGATCGAATGCTGCGGTGTCTGCGGATCAGACGTCCACACCGTCACCGGCGGTTGGGGCGAGTACGAGGGTCCCCTGTGTGTCGGCCACGAGGTGAGTATCCCTTCATGTTGTCTAAGATGGTGTGCTAAGAGACCATCAAGGTTGTCGGAAAGGCGATCGCCGTCGGGAAGAATGTCAAGGACATCAAGGTCGGAGACAGGGTCGGCGTGGGAGCCCAGGTGTGGGCGTGTTTGAAGTGCGAGCAGTGCAAAAACGAGAACGAGAACTACTGCCCTCACCTCGTCGGTAAGTCCAATCACGCAAACGCCTGTTGATGCCATCATGAGCGAGACTAACAGCGCGCGCCAGACACCTACAACGCGACGTATGAGGACGGCAGCCAAGCCCACGGCGGCTTCGCCAGCCACATCCGCGCCCACGAGTATTTCACCTTCAAGATCCCGGAGAAGCTCAAGTCGGAAGACGCGGCGCCGCTCATGTGCGCCGGCCTGACGACCTACTCGCCGCTGGTGCGGGGCGGCGTGGGGCCGGGCCAGTCGGTCGCCATCGTCGGCATCGGCGGCCTGGGCCACCTCGGCGTGCAGTGGGCCAAGGCGCTCGGCGCCGACGTGTACGCCGTCACGCACTCGCCCGACAAGGCCGAGGACTGCAAGAAGCTGGGCGCCAAGGATGTCATCAACTCCAACGACAAGGACTGGGCCAAGCCGTGGGCGTTCAAGTTCGACTTCATGCTCAACTGCTCCGACATGACCAACGAGTTCGACCTGCAGACGTACCTGTCGACGCTGAAGGTCGGCGGGCATTTCCACATGGTGGGGTTGCCGGATAAGCCGCTTCCGCAGTTCCCGGCGGGCCTGTTCACGAGCAATTCGGCCAAGATGTCTGGTAGCCATATCGGAAACCACCAGGAGATGGATGGTCTGTTGAAGCTTGCGGCAGAGAAGGGGATTAAGCCTTGGGTTGAGACGATTGAGATTTCCGAGGCGGGCTGCAAGGAGGCCGTCGAGAGGGTCAAGGAGAACAAGGTCCACTACCGATTCACGTTGGTGGGACACCAGAAGGCCTTTGGCACTGCATAGGAACAGCTCTAGATGCAGCTCGGCTTACATTTCCCAAAATTGATGCAATATGATATGAATTGTTCATTCAGCTTATGACTGGTTCTCATGCAGTTCGGTCGGGAGGGACGCGCATTACTGAACCCCGCCTGGCGGTTCGTACCGGATGAGGTTCTTACGGCATCTCACAAGCCCAAGACAATCAATACGATGATTTTGTGAGAGGCTCTATCGGACTTCCCAGCAACATATTCGCGAATTTAATGCCCCGCTAACATCTTACGAAGGATTCCACCCCTGTCGCGCTTATGTTGACTCACCTTTGTTTGTGACTCAAGATTATCTGGGAGCGGGCGACGAGCCGTTCTGGCGCAAATCCAGTTCGACTGGGCTGTCTCCAAGCCGCAAGATCAATAGCTGATTACCAAGCGAAAATGGGTTGAGAAGTTTGAGTCTCGGGCAATTGATTACTGATTAGCTCCGCTGACTGCATAACCGACTGGACCCCTTGCCTTGGCAGTCAGCGGCAGATGAGGTGACACGACGATTAAGCTTCAACTGAAAACAATATTTCTCATATATTTTCCCTCTTCAATTCCATCACTTTGACGTGTGTTTCACTTTCAATCTATCGCATTAAACATTTTTCAGAACAGCACAACATGGCAGCCGAAATTCACGTCATCTCCAAGAAGGATCTCACCAAACATGAGACCATTTCAGCCGATGTATCCCTTCCGCCACTAGCACCCTCATCCATCCGAGCCCGCTCCTCGCTCGTTGCAATCACATCCAACAACCTCTCATACGCCAAGCTCGGAGACTTTCTGCAGTGGTGGTCCTCCTGGCCCGTCCCCGCCGATGCCCCGGCCCCGTACAACAACCGGGACGAGTGGGGCATCGTCCCGGCGTGGGGCTTCGGCAGGGTCCTCAAATCCAACGTCGACGCCATCCCGTCCGGCAGCCTCCTCTACGGCTTCTGGCCGACCTCATCCCACACAGTCGACCTGAAGCTCGAGCCCCACGACCCCAAAACCCACTTCCGCGAGGTCAGCGAGCACAGGCAGGGTCTCGGCAGCATCTACAACCGCTACAACCTCGTCGACGAGACCGCGCGGCCCGGGGAGTCCAGGGCGCTCTTCGCCAACGCCTTTTCCATCTGGAACGCCGGCTACATGCTCAACCGCTTCTGCTTCCCCACCGAGTACGAACCGGCACACCCGTTCGGCCGGCACGGCGGGACGTGGACGGACGCGGACGCGGACCTGAGCGCCGCCGTGCTGGTGAACCTCTCGGCGTCGAGCAGGACCGGGCGGAGCACCACCTGGAACTTTGCGCGGAACCGCAAGCCGGGCGTCAACGGCCCGCTCGCGTTCCTGAACGCAACGTCGTCGCCGAAGACCCTGGAGCCCGCGCCGCAGGCCGCGTTCGAGATCAAGGGCGTCGGCTACGACGACCTGGCCGCGAAGGAGACGGTGGAGTGGATCGGGAAGTTCAAGCCGAAGCGCGTCGTGGTTTTGGATAACGGCGCGCCCTCGGCTGCTACTGAGCGCTTCCGCGAGGCGCTTGTGGGTGCGCTGCCGGAGACGTCGCTTACGCTGGTCATGATCGGAGGCGAGCCGAAGATGCAGACCCCCGAGGAGTTTGTGGCTCTGATGGGGTTGAAGTCGAAGTGGGGCGCTACTGTCCAGCTCAACACGACGTTCGTTGTCGACGACGGAGTCGCTGCGGAGGGCGGGGAGAAGTTCTTTGAGGAGAACGAGAAGGCTTTCGACAGGGCGGTCGAGGAGAAGTATCTTGGGGACATTGAGTTGGTTCGTGGCAGTGGAGTTTCCGGGTCCAAGGGAGTTGAGGGGGCCTGGGAGAATATCATCAAGGGGACGTTGGCGCCTAGCAAGGCTTGGGTTTATCAACTGGACGGGAAGTCACAGTGATTTCCCAAGGACTCGTTTTATGCTTAGAATCTGCAGTGATTCTGCAGAATAGATTCACTCTCAAGCTGGAAGAGACTCCATAGAGGACACTGTCTTGAAAATGTCAACCACGAGGTTAAATTGACAATACCGTGCGCTATGTTCTCGGGTCGGCTATAGAATGGGCGTGATATTACCCGAAGATGTGTACTGTTAGTACGGTTTTCAGATGACTTCTGTCAGGCGAAGGATTCCGTTTTCATTCTGTGATTTCCCAAGACTGCACAGCCATCTCAACATCTGTATGCAGAGATCCGAGTCAGGAAGCAGTTGATAAGGTCGAGTTTCAGTCGACCGTTTCAGACGAACTATCGACTCCAGGCGTCCCGACAGTCAGGAACAATACGGACGGCGATACCGCCTTCAATTAAGGTGTGAAGCTCACCAATGAAATTGAATCTCTGAAGATATGCATCTCATGCTGGGGTCTCGTGATGCATAGCGAGGCCTTTGTTTACGCAAGTCTCGCTCTAGTCTCATCTTCTCATGCCGTTTGACAGCAACTTTAAACAGACTGACGGCGACTTTCATGGGCACGGCCGCCTTTAACAGTAAGCACATCTCAAGCTGGGAGTCGACCAGACTCGGGAACGTGAAGAGTCCGGTAGTAATATTGGAAGACAAGGAGACATAAAACTGATCAGAGCATGGAAGTTTTGTTAGAAAAGGCGTTGGGTCTTCGCCATCTGACTCTTCTGGTCATCAACTCATCAAAGTCAGGAACTCCCTATACGCAATTATCATCTTAAATCGGTGTCTATATCTTGGAACACTTCGGTATGAAGTTTTCCTCCGTCCTTATGACTTTGGTGGTCGCTGCTTCAGGAGCTATACCGTAAGAAGTAAGATACTTAATCACTTGAGAAAGACGGACAGAGACAGAAAGCTTATAATCATTCATCACAGCGCAACACCGCGACAGCGCAACACCGCAAAGATAGAACTTTTCCCTCAATAGGCAAATTGCTAAGAGGCTAATAGTAGGTTCTTTATCTTATATTAAAACTAAATTTAAGACTAGAGGACTAATCTAACCTTTTATAAAAGAATTCTATAATAATAATAATCTACTACCTTATAATTATTATAGTAGTCTTAAATATACTTTTAAGAATACTACTAGTATTAGTCTATTAGTATTTAATTATAATATACTACTAGTAGTAGTTTATATAGTCTACCTTATAAATAAGAAATAATAATAGTAAATAATAATAATATTATTAACTATATTAATATTTATAATAGAAACTAAAAAAAAGAAGCTAATTAATAGTTTAGACCCCTATTCTTATAAGCTTTTAGTAATACCTTACTATAGAAAAGAGAGACTCTATAGTAATAGTTTAAAAGAAGATAACTTTATTATATATAATAAGATTAACTATATCTTTATTATTCTTTATAGTAATTTTATTATTATTTATATAGTTTTAATCTTTTTATTATTAATATACTTTAATAGAAAAGACTATAATATTTAGTAATATAATCTTTCTTTTTATTTTAGTTTAATTTAATATCTCTTTAAGTATAATACTTTTGATATTTATAAATATTAATATTAATAATAATAAATCTAAACCTTAAAGATTAAATAATATAAAAATATATTTAAAATCTTATTTTATATTATAAATAATAGCTAATTTTAAGTAATTACTAATAGATTTTAATTATATTTAAAATAGTAATAAAATATTAATATACTTTAACTTTAATAAGAAATTTAACTTCAATAAGGTTTATTAAAAAGTATTATAATTTAAACTTATTAGAAACTTTAAATATTTTACTTTTAATTTTATATATATTATATAGTTATTAATATAGTTACTAAAGCTCTTTTTAATTATTAATACTATAATAAGTTTTAATAATATATTTTAAATATAAGCTTAGAAAAAAATACTATTAAGAGTAAAACTATAAATTAACTATTAAATATATAATTTAATTAATAATTATTAATAGCTCTTTTATTTTAAAGGCTTTAAATAAGAAGATAATTACTATTAAAGAAGTAATAAAAAATAATAAAAAACTAATAAAACTCTTAATAAATATAAATTAAAAAATAAAAGATTTTATATAGAAACTTTTATTAAACTAACTTAATTATAATTTTAATAATAAGTTTTTAAATATTAGCTTTTTAGCTATTACCTTAAAAGGATATTACTAAATAGCTTAACTTTTTAAAATAAACTTAAAGTATAGTTAATAAAATATAATATTTTATAAATTTAAAAGTTTTTAGTTTTATTTTCTATTAAGAAATATTATTATTTCTCTAGAGGAATTAATAGCTTTAATAAGAGAGTCCTTTAAGTTTATATTTAGAGATTATATATATATATATATATTTAATAATACTTCTTTAAATTTAAAGAATTATTATTTATTATATAATAGAGAATTTTAATAAAAATATAATATTTTCTAATTAAATATTAATATTAAGTTTAATAAAAAGTTAATCTTTTATAATAAAGAAATCTCTTAATATAAAAAATATAAATCTTCAGACTTTTAGCTTAATTATTAAAGCTATTAAATTTAATATAATTTATAAGATTATTAATAGTTAATTTATTTTCTTTTAGAAATAAGCTTTTAATTAATAGAAATATTATTTTAAACTAAAAGAGTATAAACCTTATTTAAAAAAAAGCTTAAATACCTTAAAATTAAATATTAAATATTAATTTAATTCTTTATAATTAAAATCTATTAACTAAATATATAATAATAAATATTTAATTAAAGATATTAATACCAATATTTATATTTATACTTTAAATTATTTTAAATATAATACAGCTTAATAAGATTTTTAATATTATTAAAATAATTATTTATTTTACTTTCTAATATTTTAAATTTTAATTTATAATATTCTTTTTATAAGCTTATTTTTAATAATACTATTAAAAATACTTTTAGTTTATAAAGAATTAATATATTATATTAAAGTAGTATTATAGCTTTTAACTTATAATATATTAAGCTTTTAATTAAAAAGAGACTTTATAGTTAAATAACTATTATTATAGTAATCTTTAATAAGAAACTTATAATAATTAGCTATAATAATATTAAAGATCTAAAAACTTTTAATATTATAGAGAATAAACCTTAATAAATAGAAATAACTAAAAGAATTAAAAACCTTAAAATAAACTATAAATATTTATAAAAAATAAGAGATTTATTTAATATAACTATTTAAAATAAACTTAAAGAGATATAAGATCTATATAAAAAGATAATAAGAATAAGAATATAATATATCACCTTATTAACTATAGATATATCTTTAAAAATATAATTAAAGTTTTATTTTAAAAGCTAACTTTATTTACTTTAACTAGATCTTAATAATCTTAAAAAATAAAGATATTACTATAAATATTAAGAAATTTAATAATTTTATTAAATTTATAAGCTAGATTTAATTATTACTATTTTAATTTAAAGAAGATTAAATAGTTAATATAATATTAAAACTATATAGTTATATTAAGCTACTAAGATAGTTTTATTTATAACTATATATTTTAGCTAATAAAAATAATATATCTTTAGATATTTATATTAATATTAAAACTTTAACTACTTTTATTAATAGAAATTAAATATTATAGTTTATAAAAAAGTTAATATATTAATTAATAAAACTATAAAGAATAATAATATTTAATTTAACCTTTTAAATAGATAAAAAGATTATATTTAATTTCTATATTCTTAATAATATTAATAAAGTTTATATTAATACCTATATAATTATTATAACTAGAGTTATTAATAATTTAAATACTAGCTATATAAGAAAAATACGTTTTTTTAGCTAAATCTATATAAACTTATATATATTTCCTAACTAATAACTCTATTATTACTGGGATTAAATAATTGTAATAATTCGATTATGTTGGGAAAAGTGTGATGGTTGCGTAGTGCAAGAATACAATAAAGCTCGTATACGTCGAATAGTTTGGCTCCATGGGCTCAGCGGGTAAGTCCATGTCGTCTCGGCAGGATCAAGATTATAGAATCCAAAGCCAATGTGCGCAACAATCCCAACTCTTTGAAAGAGTGATGCAGTCCAGAAGTCTTCTTTGTCGTTGACCACCCGTAATAGCAATCGTACTGTCCGTGGCATTCCGTTTTCTATTTCTTTGCAACCATCTGTTGGTAGATGAGGTGCTCGATCAAACTGCATTATGTCGAAAGCACAGAACCGATCCCTAGATGCGGTTATATGATCAAAACATTCCCTGGAGTTGCCATGATCAAATTCCATGTTGTTGTGATGATCAGACCGATATATACTAATAGTGCCCTTGAGTGTTACTGAACCAAAGATATGGCTTTGCGACTGGTCAGCAGATACATCGCACGAAACAACCGAGGCCTTTAGCCTCTTCTTTCCAGAGTATTGTATGTGCGAATAGCTGACGGCCCCATTTCGAGATGCCCATGTCCAGGTTGGCAATTTCGTGTGAGACGTATCTGGCTGGCGGAGCCTCCAACAGAGGCTGTCGAGCAAATTAGCATGCTTCCAAACTCCCCCAACAAACTTGTCTCCAAGCACCTGTCCGACCGAGTTTGAAATTGCTAGGAAGGCGGGGACTCTATCAGAAAGTTTCGTCAATTTTCGCTTTGTGAACTCCTCGACTTGAGCTTGCCACGCTTCGAGCGGCCTTAGAGGCTTGACGTGTTGGTCCGATTGACTAATGCCCCTGATTGCAAGCTTGGTCTTGACTGCTTTGCCGAATTCTTCGTTGTGCCTAGACCAGCCTGCGGCCCGGTTTGCAGCCACGAGTGGACACAAATCAAGATTGTATTCGTGAAGGCATTCCCAATGTAGTATACCTGCCCCGAAGTATAATGTTCGCGTGCTCATTGCCTGTTCCTGCAGAATCCAAGCTCGCTCGTGCACTGGACCGCGTCGA